CATATTACTAATGACAGTATATTTTTCATCTCTTGGGACCTAGCACCATAACCAAAGTATTTTTGTATTTCTGAGTTTCAGAAGCCTACCAGCTTAAGGAAAAAATACACATTTATTACATGGTTATGGGGGTATCTAAGGGCAAAGGTGAACAAAAGGGGGTAGAACCAAGAAGCAGAAACAGTAAAATGTCCAGAGGCCACTTTCTTAGTCTCTCTCACCTCTGTGTCCCTTTGTCCTTCTGTGTCATCTATGGTTCTACAGAACTGCCTTCTTGGCTCTTCCACCAGGGTGACTCCGCCACAGCCCCTGAGGTTATTCGATTCTGTTCCAGTCACTTGCAGAGAACAGAGCGCTGCCTCTCCCCCAGTGCAAAGGTCCCAAAGGAGACAATCCGGCTGACCCTGTTTGGGTCGGGTTAAGCCCGTGGTTCACTTGATAAGGTCGCATAGTGTAAACATATCTCCTGGGACCATGTCCATGAGGAAGAGCAGTTTTTATTTTTAGTGTTTTATTAACTATGCTACTACAGTTGTCCTAATTTCCCCCCTTAACCCCCCTCCACTGGGTAACCCCCTTTGGTCTAGCAATCTCTCCACCCCCCCAATCATGTTCATGGGTGTGCACTTAAGTTCTTTGGCTTCTTCATTTCCTATACTATTCTCAACCTCCCTCCTATCTATTTTGTACCTACCACTTATGCTTCTTAATCCCTGTTCTTTTTTTTTAATATCATAGTTTCTTTTTTATTTTTATTTTTTTAAATTTTATTTAGTTATTTTTCTTTTTCCCCATTCTTCCCCCTTCCCTTCCCTTCCCTGCTGATAACCCTCCAAATGATCTCAGTATCTATGATTCTGTTCCTGTTCTAGTTGTTTGCTTAGTTTGCTCTTTTAGATTCAGATGTTGGTAATTGTGAGTTTATCGTCATTTTACTGTTCGTAGTTTTGATCTTCCTTTTCTTAAGTAAGTCCCTTTAACATTTCATATAAGAGCTTGGTGATGCTGAACTCCTTCAGCTTTACCTTGTCTGGGAAGCAGTTTATTTGAGGAAGGGCAGTCTTTAGAAGAACAGTATAGTGAGTGAACTGACTCAACATGCAACAAAGGATACCAAACAAGCCAGGCTTAGAACTTCGTCTAAAATAAAAGTATGCTCCGTGTGAGGGCCCGAGGTGCTCCCCTATGAAGACACAACAGGACGTTCAGCCCCATTGTTTTGTGGTGTAAAGTTTGATATGGAATTCTCACACCATAAAATCTGCCCTTTTAAAATGTATACTTCAGTGACTTAGTATATTCACAAGGGTTCTGCAACTAAACCCCCAGAACACTGTCATCACCCAAAATTCACACCTCATACTCATTAGCTATCACGCCCCAGCCCCTGGAAACCACTTCTCTACTTCCCGTCTCTATGGATTTGCCCGTCCTGGACATTTCATAGAAACAAAATTATATAATACGTGACTTTTTGTGTCTGGCTTCTTGCAGTTAGCATAACACTTTCAAGGTTCATGCATGTTGTAGCATGGATCGGACTGATTCCTTTTTATGGCTAAATAATGTTACATTGTATGACTAGACCAATTTCACTTATCCATTCATCACTTGACAGATATTTACGTTATTTCCACTTTTTAGCTATTAAGAATAACACTGCCATGAACATTCACGTACAAGTTTTTGCATGAACACATTTTTTTTTTTAATTCTCTTGGGTATTTGCCTAAAATCGCTAGGTCAACGTTAGTGATTCTGTGTTTAACACTTTGAAGAATTTCTAAACTGTTTTCCAAAGTGGCTGCACCAGTTCATTACAGTCCCCACCAGCAGAGTGAGGTTTCCAACTTGTCCACGGCCCTGCCAGCTTTGTGATCGTCGCTTTTGATTATGGCCATGGTAGTGGGACAGAGTATCTCATTGTGATTTGGATCTGGGCTTCCTGAGTGACTAATGAGACTGAACATGTTCTCGTACCCTTACTGACCATGTGTGTGTCTGCTTTGTAGAAATGCCCACGCAAATCTTTTGACCATTTTTAACTGGGCTGTCATTTTACTGATGAGTTGTAAGAGTTCTTTAGACATCTGATAGACACTAGACCTTTATCAGATATATGATTTGCAAGTAATTTTTCCCATTCTGTGATGGTCTTTTTACCTTTTTGATAGTGTCCTTTGACCCATAAGTTTTAATTTTGAAGAAGTCCAATTTATCTATTTTTTTCTTTTGTCATGGGTGTTTTAGGGGTCATATCTAAAACAAAAGAAAACAAAACCATTGCCTAATCCGAGCTCACAAAGATTTACACTTTTCATCTGAGTCTTAATAGTTTTAGCTTACATTGAGGTCTTTGACCTGTTCTGAGTTAGTTTTATATGTGGTAGGAAGGAGGAGTCCAAGTTCATCCTTCTGCATGTGGATACTCAGTCGTTCCAGCACCGTTTGTTGAAAAGACTATTCATTCCTCAATAAATTGTCTTGGTGCCTTATTTTAATGAAAAATGTTATTTGTTTTTCAACTAAATTCCCTTGGTTGCTCAGTAACTGACTGTACTCAACCAAGCATATGACAACAGATACACAACTGAACGTGATTAAGGTATGTGTGTGTGTGTGTGTGAGAGAGAGAGAGAGAGAGAGAGAAGCCCCAACTATAACCATCAGTTACTTTCATTTGACATGGGCTAGGATTAGTCTGGTCAGTACATTGGATATATTCACTATGTTGACTGTGGTGATGGTTTTATGGGTGCATATATAATCAAACACCAAACTGTGCACTTTAAATATGTGCAGTTTATTGCACATCAATTATGCCTCAAGAAACCTGTTTTTTTAATTGATGGATTTGAAAAAGAGAAATATCAATTTGTTGTTCTACTTACCTATGTATTCACTGGTTTATACTTGTATGTGCCCTGACTGAGGATTGAACCCACAACCTTGATATACCTGGATGATGCTCTAACCACCTGAGTTACCAGGCCTGGCTGGGCCTCAAGAAATCTGTTTTAAAGAGATACAACCTAAGCCCTGCCTAGTGTAGCTCAGTGGATTGAGCTTGGGCCTGTGAACCAAAGGATCGCGGTTGGATTCCCAATCAGGGCACATGCCTGGGTTGCAGGCCGGTTCCCTGTAGGCCAGTTCCCAGCAGGGGACGCATGAAAGGCAACCACACATTGACGTTTCTCCTCCTCTCTCCTTCCCTTCCCCTCTAAAGATAAATAAATTTAAAAAAAAAAAAAAGAGATACAACCTAGGAGCCAGAGAGTAAATGACTTCTTTTCCTAATCAATTTTCAGAATCAGTTGCTCTGGTTGGGCCTAAAGATGTAATACTGACTAGTAATTCCGTAAAACTTGTACTACTCTTAGGTAGGATAGATAGCAAACCAAGGCAGGGAGGAGGAGGAGGGGGAGACAGGTCTCACCCACTAACGCAGCAGCCCTGAGCCTGGTCAGATAATATTGCCAGGTGTTCCCAACATTGTAAGTAACACCATGCCAGCATGGGAGGAGGGAAGCCCTTAAAATTCTGTATGTATCATTTCCATTATCTGGGAAAGAAAGCCTTTGGAACACTGTATTCACCCCAACACCCAGAAGGGAAAGAAGTGGACATTCATGGTGCCTAAAGAAGAAGCCCATAAAGCAACTTTGGCTAATTGCCTACCTCTGGGTCACTCTGTTTTATAAGGGGGTCCCTAGTGCTTACAGAAAGAGCCCATAAACAACTTTGGGGAACTGCCTAAACTTTAACTGCCTTCTGTCACATCACATATCTGTTTTAAACAAGATGAACAAATGTGGTCTGGAGCAAGATAAGAATTCTGGGCTAACAGATCCCCACACACACATACCTCCGTTTGGGTAGTCACATCCCCCAGCGAAGCTGGCACCGCCTTTACCCACCAATCAGTACGTAGCTCCCGTACCCATCCCACCAAGTATGTCAAAGGACCTGATGCTCTGGCTGCCCTCACCTTGCCCTGCCCTGAATGTTCCCTTCCGAGAGAATGCATCACTAATAAACCCTGCTTGCTTGCTAACAGGCTTGCGGATTTGTCATTTTTACCGCATGGGCAAGAAGAACCAACTTTCTCCTGTAACACTTCTGCATTTCTCTTAACCGACTTTATTCCAAAAAATGCAAGCAGACCATGTACATTCCGTATTTGTAAGACTGGGACTAACTCGTCACTGTGGGTAAGAATTAATGAGAGCTGGAAATGTGTTCTGACGCTTAAGGAAAAGCATATTTAAGTCCCCACCCAGGGAGAAGGTTACAGAAGTTTTATCTGCACCTGCACCAAGCTCCATTTTGGCAGACTCCACCTGCCTGTTCACCCTTCCTTCCCAGGCATCAAGAACACTGCCAAGCACCCGAGGGGCCCTCAGGAAGTACCTGTCAAATGCGCGAACAGAGTCCCACCTAACCTGTCCCGCCTGTTCCTGGGACTACTCTGAGGCAGGATTACTCTGTCCCGCCCTCTAACGCAACAATTCCACCTCTAGAGACAGAGGCTGCCTGTTTTCTGCAAATTTTCTTTTTTAAAAAATGTGTTCCACTTTTTGATGTTAAAAATTTTTTCTTCTAAGATTTTCCATTACCGTGGACACTCTAGATACCCGTGTCAGGTTGCAAATTGTCTTCTTCAACCATTTATATTTGGGAAAACCAACTGGGGCTGGCTTAAGACATCTCACATCCAAGAAATGAACCCAAAATACCAAACGCGATGCGCGGGACCTACAAACCGGAAGCCAGCACGGGAGAGCGGCAGGGGAACCGAAGCTCACCCCCGCCCCCACCCCGTCCGCCCGCAGCCGCGGCGCTATCGTTACCAGGACGCGTCCTCGCCAGCGCGCAGCACCGCCGACTAGGAGAGGCACGCTGCGACCTTCCAGCACCTGCGCTCCGCGGCGGCGGAACGTGCGGGAAGGTGCCGAGCGGTGCCTGCCGGGCTCAGGGCCGGCGCTCCGCGCGAAACGTACCTGAAGGGCACCAACTAACGCGGAAAGGCACGTCCCGGCGGTGGGCCGTGGGCGCCTCCTCCATGTTCCCGCTCATCTCCCCTTCTCCCTGCAGTGCGGAGAGAGCCCTCTCAGCGGCGGGGCCGGCCCCGGAGACCGGGCTCCTGACCCCGGCCGCCCCCTCCCGCGGCCCGGACTGCGCCACCGGGGGGCCCCGGTGTTGAGGCGTGGCCCCCAGAGGCTGGACCCCCGCAGGGCGAGCCCGGGCTGTGGACTGCGGGGGTGGGGGGCTCCGTCACCTGAGCTGCCCCGCGAGCCCCAGGGTGGCGCTCAGCACTCGCTGGCCGAGGAGAGGCCGCTCTCTCCGCGAAAACCCCGCTCCCCTCAGGCGGTCCCTCGCTCCCCACAGCCCCGCTGAGGGTCCCTCAGACCCCCGCCCGGGCCTGGGCCCGCTCCGGCGGAGGGGCCGACCCCCGCCCCCCGCCCCCCCATCCTCCCGGGGCGGCCCTCGCACCCGAGGGGAGGTCACGCGCTCTGCCGGGCCCTCCCCCGCGAAGGACAGCGCCTCGGGCCGGCCGGGCCTCCTGGGCGGGGCTCCCGGGCGGCCGGGGCGAAGGGCGGGCGGGCAGCGGGCCGGCCCCACAGCGCGGAGCCCGGCGGCGGCGCGGGCGCGGCCATGGCGGGCTGCTGCTCGGTGCTGGCGGCCTTCCTCTTCGAGTACGACACGCCGCGCATCGTGCTCATCCGCAGCCGCAAAGTAGGGCTCATGAACCGGACCGTGCAGCTGCTCATCCTGGCCTACGTCATCGGGTGAGCGCGGCCGGGGGCGCGACCCCGCGGGGTCAGGGGCACGGGGGCACGCGGCGGCCGGGGGCTGCCCCATCCGGGTCCTGGCCGTGTACCTGTCCCTCTTGGCCCGAGTCACCGGGGCAGCCCCGCGAGCGCCTCCCAGGGAGGGTCCGGGGCAGCGACCCGAGGCCGGGACACACCCCTCCCGACCCCCAGCCGCCGGTGGCTGGGCTCTGGGCAGAACTTTGCTATGATGGTGTGTTTTAGGGGCAGACCCTGGCTAGACCCCCATCATTCCGCCTGGCCCTGCGATGGCCTATGGCTGGGGGAGGGGAGCGCTCGGCCTCAACGTCCCCGTCTTTGTTACTCACTTCCCAGCTGAGGGTCTGCTGGCAGAAATCAGGGTTTGGGATTTCCACTTGGTTCCTTTCGGGTCTGTGGCTTCCGGTCCTGTCCCTTCACACCACGTGGTAATCCAAGATAGTAGAGGTCGATCTTGCAAAAAGCACTTAATGTCCACTTCCCTCGTCTTACGGGGGGGTTGGTTCCTTAATCTCCGTGTTGCCCACTTTGCTTAGATAGGCGCAGCCGGCCCAGCCGCCACCGTTCCCCACCAAGTGTTTGGTTTTAATTGAATGCGCCCCTCACAATCTAATGAAACTGGAGGAGGTGGAAATGAAGTTACCAGCTGGGCCTGGTGCCAAGGTCCACTGGGGTCCAGCTGTTACGTTGTGGACAGCGCTGAGCTGACAAATGTTACTTGCTTGGTCATTTCTTTTCTTGAAAGGCCTAATGCAACGGTCCCCAAACTACACATACAACCATTTGGGCATCTTTAAAAAACGCTGATTGCTGGCTCCCATCCCCAGGCCTTCTGATTTCAACGCTAGAGAGCAAGACCAGTTCCCAGGAGATTTTGATGTGTGGCAAAGTTTGGGGGCTGGTGTCCCAGGGTTGCCCAAATCTACTTGATCATGAAAGACGCACCCTGAAGCACTGTTTTAAAGTAACCTGGGGTGGGGCTTGGAATCTGCATGATCAGACAGGTTGACCTCTGACCTCTGGCAGCCCTGCAGCAGCAGGTACTGACAGCATTCAGTAAAATGGCTTTCCAGGTGTGTTCCCTACACCAGAACTACCTAACCCACTCCCAGATTTGGACTCAGTCTCATTAAGTTCCACCAGGAACTCCTCACCCGCCCCCCAAACCCCACCCCCTGCAGTAACTATGATGCAGCCTGCATTTTGAAAGGCGATACTTACCTGGTTAACTGAACTCCCATGGCTGGGCTGGCTCTGAAGCCCTTGGAATCAAGCTCTCCTGCAGCTTTTTCCTCTTTGCTCGTGTTGCTCACGCCAAGATCAGTTGACATCTATCCTAGGGTATCTGTGAAGTTCTGGACTTGCCAGATGGTATAGAGTTAGTCCCTCTCCCCTTATCCGCAGTTTTGCCTTCCGCAGTTTTAGCTACCAAGGTGTGGAAATAGTAAATGGGAAATTTCAGGAAAAGCAATTCTTAAGTTTTAAATTGCACGCCATTCTGGGTAGCACGACGAAATCTCCAGGCGTTCTCACACCATCCCACTGGAGATGTGGTCATCCCCCTTCCCACCAGTCACTGTGCAGCCTCCTGGGTCATCAGGTCAGTTACCAGAACAAGAGTGGCCACATTGATGTGACTTTGATCATAGCATATTGTTTGTGTTGCTCTGTTTTATTATTAGTGATCGGTAATCTCTTGCTGCACCGAATTTATAAGTAAACTTTACCACAGGTGTGTCTGTGTAGGAAAAAACACGGTATAAATAGGGGTCGGAAATGACCTGCAGTTTTAGGCATCCACTGGAGTCTGAGACCGTATCCCCAGCAGAGAAGGTGGGGAGTACTGTGTTTGTATCTGTGCTGCACGATACGGGAGCCACTAGTCAGCATGGCTGTTGAACACTTGCAATGTTCGTCCTTCAAATTGAGACGAGCTATCGTGGTAAAATACACACTGGGTTTTTAAGAAATAGCACAAAAATACCCCAGTGAAATATCACACGAATAATCTTCTACTGATAACAGGTGAAAACATATTGGGTTACATAAACTATATCATTAAATTAATTTCACCCCTTTTTAGTTTTGAACGTGGCTACTAACATTTTTAAAATTTCATATGTGGCTCATGTTATATTTCTTTTGGGTAGCACATCTTTCTGGAATTCCTGTAAAGCGTTCTCTACCTTAATCGTGAGGATTTTTTTAAAGCAATAGGTGCTTTGCTTTTATCCATCTTGCCATGATCCAAACTGACTCAGGATTTAAATTAAGAGATTATAAAAAAAAAAAAAAAGACCTCATTTCTTAACTTCCTGATCCAATTCATCATGATGAAATTGTGGCCTTTTTTCCCCTTGTGACCCATAGCAACCTTCTGAACTAAAAGAGACTGAACATGCATTTCTCAGTTATCTAATTCTAAGTCACACGATGAAGAAACAGTTAAATCACATAATGATGTGAAACTGTGCATCTCTTTAGCAATTTATCATACCAATGGTAAGACAGTAGTGACCTTCCTGCCCTAAGCTTCAGTATATCCGACCAGAATTAAATGGAAGCTTCTGTTGCAGCTGGATTCCCAGAAACCCCAAAGAGGAGGACTTTCTGGAGGAAAAGCTCATCTCTGGGATGGGAGATGCATTTGGAGACTGCCCAGATCAGACAAACCTGTAAATAACTAAAACCCGTGAATTTCTGAAGTCTCAGCATCTAGAGCTTATAAGGAGGAGAGAAGGATGTTAGCATTTCTTTTTTTTCTTTTTTTAAGATTTTATTTATTTATCTTTAGAGGGGAAGGAGAGAGGGAGAGAAACATCAATGTATGGTTGCCTTTTGTGCGTCCCCTGCTGGGAACTGGCCTGCGACCCAGGCACGTGCCGTGACTGGGAATCAAACCACGATCCTTTGGTTCGCAGGCCTACACTCAATCCACTGAGCTACACCAGCCAGTGTGTCTTTACATTTTTAATTATCCAAACTGATATTAACGTCCCCAGTTCAGAGGAAGAAAGCAGACATGTGCCTTGCTTTCTTGGAGGAAAATATAAAAATTACTATAAAAACTTATTTGAAAGGCATATCTTGTTTTAGAAGGAGTATGGCATAGAGGTCAAGAGAAGAGGCTTCAGAGGCAGAAAACTTGGGATCATGTCCTGATTATGCCACTCACTAGCTGTGTGACTTTGGCCAAGTGACTTGACCTCTCTGTGTCTTGGTTTCCTCCTCTGTAAAATGGAGCTAAATGATGGACACTTGCCTTACACAGCAGTCAGGAGTAAGTTAGTTAATATACATAAGGAGCTTAGATCAGTGCCTGGAACCTAAAAACACTCAAATGGTAACTATTATGATGCTAATTTTTACACTCTCTTGGTGATTCTGCAGGTCACAGTGCATTGAAAGTGCTCAAGTAGCTAATAAGACAGCATTAACCAAGCATTTTCTCCGTGCAGATCACAGTGCTAAGAGCTTTACTGGCATCATCTCATTAATTTCCCACAAACCACCCTGTGGTTTAGGTGCTATTACGCCTTTTTTGCAGAAGTGGAAATGGAGCCCCCCACAACTACCCTCAAAAAAGTTAGGCGGCTTTTGCAAAGTCACGTAATTCAGGAACGTGGGACTTTCAGCTTCTGACTAGCAGAGGCTCCCTAGCATCAATTCAAACTCACCAAACCCTAACAGCAATTCAGGAGGCCTGTTTTATTTTGTAGGTGGGTGTTTGTGTGGGAAAAGGGCTACCAGGAAGTGGACTCTGTGGTCAGCTCAGTTACTACCAAAGCCAAGGGTGTGACGGTGACCAACACTTCTAAACTTGGATTCCGGATCTGGGATGTGGCCGATTACGTGATTCCGGCTCAGGTATGCTGTCCATGGCGACTGTCGAACGCTAACGCCTCTAGCTAGCCCCTTGCACTTTGCTAACCTCGTGCACTGATTAACGGTCGGCACGGCCAGAGTTCTAACGTCCCCAAAGCCCGAGCCAGTTGTTTCAGTCCAAGAAAGCAATGCGCACAGATCTCTTTTTGGCTCCCGATCTAACAGGTAATATCCAATCAGCTATGTTTCTTCTGTGCTGAAACACGGCCAGTTTAAACACAGGCAGCTTTCCATGAGGACATCTTGGTCTGTCTCAAGCCCTAAGAGGTGAAAAGGGAAACATTTTAAATCCTGGGGAAAATTCAGGTGGAAATATCACCTTTCCAGGTTTTGTATTTGCTTTATGGTGGTAAGCCCACAAGGTGAACCTTTTCAAGCAGCGTTAAAAACCTTTAACAGCAACTAGAGACAGACAGCCAAACAGAAGGACACAGACATACTCGAGGAGGCCTCCTTCAGGAACAGAGGGAAGGAAGATCTGCTGTGGGTCCCAGTCTCTTAGGGTTCTGTGAACCACAAAGCTCCAAGTTAAATATTGACTCTCTTTAACCTTGATAGTGGCCGTGCTCCACACAGCCAAACCCCAGCGTACCTCTCCAGGTGGCACGTACGCCCCAGTAACTGGGGTGGCTCAGGGCAGATCAGCTGTCTGCTCTCTGCTCAGAGCTCTGCCAGGACTTCAGAAGCTCTTTCTTCAAGTGTGTTCGTTCCCCACCCACCCCACCTACCTGCTTTTTCAAGAGAGGGTCTCGTGGGGTGGCCAGAAAGAAGACAGAGCTGGTGAGCCATGAAGGCCAAATGGAACAGGGTGGTTCACAGTTGCTGGAGGTGGCCGGTCCTGTTGGTGTGCACCTGTCTCAACAGAGAGACCTTGTTACCGAACAAGAGGAGGTGGTCGTCCGAGGGAGGGGCAATACAATATTTGGCCCACCTAGGGATGCCCAAAACTGCTGTACAACAGGGGCCCCTCCCAAAAACCAAAATACTAAAATTTACTGGGCCCTTCTGTCCAACGCCAATTGGAAACACATCTCTTAAAGCCAGAGATTTGTGAAAAGGAAACAAAATGTTTATTTAATGCTATTCAGGCCTAATGCCACCACTAAAATATCAAAGTCCTTTAGGTTGTACACCTACACCCACATAGCGCTCCCTTTCTCCCTCTGTCCCAACTCCGGGTACCGTAAATCAGGAAAAGAGCACACGTCTGTGTTGCAGGCCGCTGGCACCGTCAGCTGTGTCACCGTGCAGGATCTCGAGTTAATCCAAAGTACTGTGGTACCCTCTCATAGTCCACTGGCAAGAGTCCTTTGTACCCAGTTCCAGTCAAAGTCTCTGTTGCTTTTCAGGCCCCGCAGCCAAAGGGGGCACCCCAAAGCCGCGTGGGCCTCTTCTACCAAAGCTGCAGGAGTCCGCACTCCACCAAAAGCATGTGGCTGTCTTCTTCACCTGGCTGCAGGGATCTCCATTCTGGCAAAGCTGCGTGGTTTTTCCCTTTCACCTGGGAAAGAGGGGGTCCGCACCCTGCCAAAACCACGTGGCTCCCTCTTTCACCCCACCAACAGGGGGTCCTCACTCTGCTGAAACCGCGTGGCTCTCTCTCCATCTGGCCAAGCGGGGACCCTTCATGTCTCGGAGCCAGTCTTTTCCAAGCTCTCACACAGGCCTTCTTACTCAGGAGTGCAGCCCCTTGTTACATTCTGAGTCCAAGCCCTTCTCACTCAGGAGAGCAGCCCTTAGTTACATCCTGAGTCCAAGCCCTCCTCACTCAGGAGAGCAGCTCATAGATCCCATCTTGAGTCCCAGCTACTACCTTCTCCTTCCTGGCTCCAAACTTGGCCACAGCTATTTAACATATCTATGAAACCAGTTAAAGGTTATAGATATGTTAAATAACCATTCCTCCAGAGGTTAGCTCCAAAACTGTTGCTATGCAAAATAACTCTCAATGGCCTGGCTCCATTCATCCCTTCCCCCTGGGGGGGGCGGTGAGGACATCTTATATGTCTCTCCAATATTTCTATACACTTTAAATTCTGGACACCTTTCCAAATCTTTTTTTTTGGGGGCCCCCCTGGCTGCACCCTGTATCAACCTCTGCTGCCTGTCGAGTCACGGCCTCGTGCTGGCAAGCTCTGGGAATGTGGCTCAGTCTGTACTGGAACCGAGGAAGGGTGTGGCCGCTGCGTCTGCCCCTCGGTGGAAAGGAACACGCAGGCACTGGGCCTTGCCCCTCAGACCTGGGGGCTGGGGGCTGAGGGAGCCCCGCAGGGCCCTCGTCATGAGCTTCCACAACGCCCTTCTGCCTCTCCGAAGTCAGAACACTGCGCATCACATCTGCTTGGCTCATCTCCAGACTGAAATTTCCCTAAACTTAGATAAGAAATAGGAACCAAAAAGTAAACATGCTGAATTGTTCACATCTCTCTTGGGAGAGGGGGACGGGCCTTTTTGGTAAACACCACCTGTGTTTGCACATAGAACACCTGGGAACCTGACAGGTGCCCTGAGAAACTCGGGTTACAACCGTGTGTCTCCTCTGGGGCCACTTCCTCATCTCCCAACGTGGCTTGTTCTGGGACTTCCTTTGGAAGATGCCAGCAATTCCCGGAGCTTCCAACACCTTGTCAGACCTAGGGGTGGAGAGGACTACGGACCCCTTGGCACTTGAGTCACTCTGACCCCCCAGATGGCTCCCCGCACTGACCCTGCCCTTCCTGGGAGTGTGACATGCTTAAAGCTCCCAGCAGGGTTTGCACGTTAGAATGGCATTGCCCAGTGAGGGGGGAGGTCCCACTCGGATCCTTGGGGTCTTAGTCTTTTACCCTTTATAAAAGGAGGTCATTAGTAGCAATTCTTTATTAGCAGTCGCATCCCCAACACAAGTGGCTCTCAAATTTCTTAGAAACGCTAATAAATGAATCATCTGGCACCTTCAGAGTTCCGAGGAAAGAGGAGAACCTGCCCTCTCAAAGGGAGAACTGTGGGTGCTGACCCTGACCGAGTCTTCTCGGCAGCGCTTTTATTCATTTGTTTTAGTTCCGGTCAGGAAAGAAAACCAGCCAAACTGGAGACCTTTAAATGTTGTTGTTTTTTTCCTCTGAGTTAATCCGGTTGGCAGAGGATGTCTGGAGTCCTCGTTGGCTCTTTTCCCTCAGTAAGTCAAGCTTTATTAAAGAACCATTTTAAGTTACAGACATTTTTAAAATTGAGGTGAAATTCACATATCATAACATGAACGATTTCAAAACGGAGAATTCAGTGGCATGTAGCACACGCGTGATGCTGGGCAGCCATCCCCTCGGTCAAGTTCGGAACATCTTCCTCACCCGCAGAGGAAACCCCGCACTCTAAGCAGTCACGCCATTCCGCCCTTCCCCGCCCCCCACAGCAAACCACCGGTCTGCTTTCTGTCCCCGTGGATCTGCCTGTTCTGGACACTTCCTGTCAATGGGATCATACACTACGTGGCCTTCTGGGTCTGGCATCTCCCACTCAGCATCATTTGGGGGGGGGGTTCTTCCACATCGCAGCAGGTGTCAGGGCTCCATTCCTTTTTATGGCTTAGTAATGTTCCATCGCAGACACAGAGCACAGCTGTGTACCACTCACCTGTCGATCAACGCGGGGGTCATTTCCACCTTGGTGAGCAATGCTGCTCTGAACACGAAGACACAAGTGATTAGTTTTAGTCCGTTTTCAGTTAGGTTACAAACTCTCAGAGGAGAGAACGGGAGACCCTGAGATCAGTTTTTCCCATTGTTTTCTCTGTGCCACGTGGGAGCCGGAAGAGCGCTGTCCTGAGAACGTCTGGCTTTCTCTCTGGCTCTGCTGGGCTCCTTGGCAGGTGACGCGGCAGGGCTCTCTCCTTCCCGCCCTCTCTGCAGGAGGAGAACTCCCTCTTCATCATGACCAACATGATCATCACCATGAACCAGACCCAAAGCTTCTGTCCCGAGGTAGGCGGCTTCTCAGGGGGAGCCTCGCGCCACACGCCCCCTCGCCAGCCCCGACCCGAGGTGAGGGAGGCTGGCCACGCGGCATGTTCTTCTTTCCCCAGCTCCCAGATAAGACCACTTTGTGCAAGACAGACGCCGACTGCACCACTGGCTCTGCAGGCACCCACAGCAATGGTAGGAGTGAGCGACTGCCACCCCTCAGTAGACACCCGCCCTGGGGAGGGCAGCAGCCACCACCACCACATCGCCTCCCCAGTGGGGCTCCTCTGATAGAGAAATCTCAGGGCTAAAGAAATCCCCCACGTTGCCCAATGCCTTCACATGACCATGGGGGAGCCCAGTGTCCAGATTGAGGTCCCGGGACCCTCTCAAGAGTCACCTCTGTCATCTGCTCATCAGAAGCCACCCCAGATCTTGCCTTAAGCTGTGGCTCCACATGCCCTTGCCCTGCATTTGGTACAGCAGGGGTGTGGCTAGGACTCGGGCACCCACTTTGCTCCAGTTGCGGTTTTCAGACACTAAGGCCAAGAACTCCCACAGCTCAGGAGGGAATGCACAGGATGCTGTGGGGGGGGCTCCCGCTCCCTGCTTCACAGAAGTGGAAAACAGGAGACCCCCTGTGGACCTGGGTCCCCCTCACCCCCATAGGAGTTGCAACAGGAAGATGCGTGCCCTTCAACAGGACTGTGAAGACGTGTGAGGTGGCAGCCTGGTGCCCGGTGGAGGATGACGGACAGGTGCCAAAGTGAGTCCTGGCCTGGGGAAGGGGGTGAACCGAACTCTGGTTCTCAGGCCTGAGGGGAGGCAGCAGGGGAGGGAGTGACACCTCTGTGTAGTGGCTTTGTGCTCCTGGCGTCTGCATGGAGTGGGGCTACATGGGGTGGTGCATCTCCACCACGAGGCGGCTGCGTCAGCCGTGAGGCCGGACACAGAGTTGTTGAAGGTAAGACGGTGCGTGGCTTTTTTCTGTTAGGATTCTGTCAGTTGCAAATAACGGACAGGAAACAGTTCTCAGTGCCTGAAGTCCATTACTCAACAGAGAACAAGCCCGGATGTCTCCTTGGGCAGAATAGTAACATTAACAACAACTTTCAGTAACATCGTTTAACTTTGTTGTATTTGTTTGAACAGTGACCTCTAACTTGTAGCAAATAATGTTTCTTATGGCCGTGACTGAACGTTTCATTTCCAAATGAATGTCGATAAAAAAGTGAGCTGATCCTAAAGGTGAAAATGATCCAAATGTCCAGCAACAGGTGAAAGGATTATAGTCCATACACAATGGAATATAACTCAGCCCTGAAAAGGAATGACATCTGACTCACGCTACAATGTAGACAAAGCTCGAAAATGTTATGCTAGGTGAAAGCAGACTACATTGGAAACGTGCATTTGTATGAAATATGCAAAATGGACAAATCCGTAGGGATAGAGGATAGACTGCTGGTGCTCAGGAGTTGAGGGGAGGAGAGTGGATGGTAACTACTTAATGGGGATGGGGTTTCCTTGTGGGGTGAAGCAGAGTGTTCTGGAATGAGATAGAGGTGATGGTTGTACAATATAAATGTACTAAAGGCCACTGAAAGTATTGCACCTGAGATGCACAGCTGTGGGGGCAAGGTTACAGTCAAGGGAAGGACAAGAGTTTGAAAAATCTGCTGTAATCCGTCCCCTTGATACAGGGATGTGGGATTTGGAAGCCCTGAGAGATGCGCCTGGGTCAAGGTCGCCAGGAGTGATGATGGGCTCAGCCTTCCTGGTTGTGTCGCCTTGTCGCTGGCCTTGCTCCTGTCTCAGGGCTGGGAAGACTGTTGTTTATATTCTCAAAGATGCCGTCAGGATCGGGGAGGCCTCCCCCACAAAGGGCTCGGACTACAGTGCCGATTCTCCCACACAGAAACCCATCGAGGAAGTGGGGTCCCCTGGGGACCGATTCCACTCGTTTTTAGCCAGGCGCTAATGCGCCACTTCTGAAGGGGCATCAGAAGGGGCTGCGGGCCAGAGGACACACTTTTTGTGTATTTTTGAGAGGTCAGGATCCAGCCTGTAGGTGAAGTGACCTTTGCTTTGCCTTTCATGAAACCAGGTCTGTTGAGCAAGCCTGGAAATGGAAACAGTGGGAATGGCAACAGTCGAGAGAATTCCAGGGCGGCCACTGGGCACAGCCCTCCTTAGATGCTCCCGGGTTCTTCTGTTCTGGCTGCCTCCCTCGGGCAGGAGGCCAGGAGAGAAGAAACCTGCAGGCTTGGTCTGCAAGTCTCCTCTCTTGACCTAGAGTTTACACAGAGGAGAGTAGAAAATGCTCAAAATGTTGCCTTTAAAAAAAAAACCAAAATGACATTGTAAGATGCATGTGTATGCTTTTAAAAAAGATTACGTAGGTATGTGAGTGCACGTATATTTGTACTTACATTAATACTAATGATAGGTTAAAATTTCTTTCAGACCCGCTTTTTTAAAGGCTGCGGAAAACTTCACCCTTTTGGTTAAGAACAACATCTGGTACCCCAAATTTAACTTCAGCAAGTAAGTGGTGGCTGGGGGTGTGAGTTCCCCAGTGTCTCTTGGAGAAACTTCTGACTCTTTGAGACTTGCCTTGTTTCTATTTTCTGCTTCCTCCCAACTTTAGGAGAAATATCCTTCCCAACGTCACCACTACCTACCTCAAATCATGCATTTACGACGCTGTAACAGACCCTTTCTGCCCCATCTTCCGTCTTGGCAAAATAGTGGAGAGCGCAGGGAATAGCTTCGAGGACATGGCCATTGAGGTAGGCGCGGGCACAGATGTCTCTGCCGGACACGTCTCGTTCCGGAGCGGGCTCCCAGGAAAGCCCGTTTGTCTCTGCTCGCATCCCGCAGGGCGGCATCATGGGCATTCAGATCAAATGGGACTGCAACCTGGACAGGGCCGCTTCCCACTGCTTGCCCAGGTACTCCTTCCGCCGCCTGGACACCCGGGACCTGGACCACAATGTGTCCCCCGGCTACAATTTCAGGTGGGCATGAGCGTGGGCCGTTCCTCACATGTGGTGCGGGGGGAGGCGACGGTGGCTGGATCACTCCACTGGGGAGGCATCCTTGCCCACCAAAGACCAGCACCCAGGGAGCCGCCACGGGCAGACAGGAACGTATGCCAGAGGCTGTGCCTGGGGCATCCTGGCCCTTTCCTGCCTCAGGAAACAGCTGGGGCAGTTTGCAGAGCAGCAGAGAGAGGCTGGCTGCTGCTTCAGCTTCCTCGGGCCAGCCTCAGGCGGGACCTCCACACACTAACTCAGAGGCCTGGGTGAGCTACTACCTTCAGGCCAGAGGCCTCTGGGGCCTCACCTGGGAATTGGTTTCTCAAAGACTGAGCCGCCCCGGCATCTCCAACGTGCAGAGGATACAGGTTTTAGCTTCAGGATAGGCCTTCGCTGGTGCTTCTCTGCTGAAAGTGCTGTGTATTCGTTTCCCCGGGTGGTGTAACAGATCACCACGAACCGGGCGGCTAGATACAACGGGGACTGACGCTGTTCTGGGGGCTGGAAGCCTGAAATCAAGGTGTCAGCAAGGCCAGGCTCCTTCCCTGCCGCTTCCAGCTTCTGGTGGCTCCCGACCGTCCTTGGTGGTGGTCCTTGGCTGGCAGACACATCACTCCAGTCTCTACCGCTGTGGTCACAGGGCCTGTCCCGCTCTGTGCGTCCTCTCCTTTCGTATAAAGACACCAGTCTTATTGGATGCAGGGCCCGCCTTAGTTCAGTAGGTCCCCATCCTAACTGATCACATCTGCAAAGACCTGTCGCCTAGCATGGCCACAGTCACGGGTTTCACGTGACTGTTGGAGGACCCTGTTCACTCCAGTGCACAGCTGGTGATCTGATGAGAGGGCCAAGGGGCCAGGTCATGTTGGCCATGCTCACGTAGCCCTGCACATTTTCATGGGCCTTGTTACACATCTAGCACACAGGTAGCCACTGTTAAAAATAGGCCCCAGGAGGGGGGGGGGCACCAGAGTAGGCCAGCGGTGCTGTTGTGCTGCACTTGTCTCCCTCTAGTGGTGACACGTGGAATCAAATGCAGGTGTGATCTGCTATCCTTTTGAGGCTCACTGGATACAAAAGTAGATGTTTATTTTTCCTAGTAAGGGAGTTAGACTTTTGTTGCTCTCTCTGTACCCTCACACAGTTCTTGTAGAAACCGCTGGGCTGGAACCCCAGCACAGAGAGAAGCCCATGGGACCCTCAGGAAAAGGACACCCCTCACTCTGCCCCCTGCCAGCACCAGGCCCTGCCCGAGTTCTAGGCCTGGACCACAACGTGGAGACTTATCACAGGCCAAGGGTTTAGGTTCCGGTGGGTCTCCCCCAATCATTTCCCCTAGTGTATTTATAAAAGGCTTTACTGAGGCAGTTCACACACCACATGGCTCACCTGTTTAAAGTGTAGAATTCAGTCATTCAGTGTATTCAGAGTTGTACAGTTACCACCAGTCAATTTTAGAACATTTTGATCACCCCCAAAACATTTCCATCCCCCATACCCTTTAGCAGTCACCCCTGTATCCCCCCTCACTCCAGACCACCCCCGCCCAAGCCTCTAATCTCCTGTCTCTCTGGATTCACCTGCCTTGGAAGTTTCACATGAGTAGAGTCGAACAATGCGCCCTTCCGAGTCTGGCTTCTTTCTCTCAGCGTGCGATTTTTCTGAGATTTACCCACGTTGTAGCATTTATTAGCACTTCATCTCTTTTCATGGCCAAATAACATGCCATTGTGTGGGTGTACCATACCCATTCATCCACCAGTGGGTCAATGGTTCTTTAAAACAAAGGCCGGGGCTGGCACTAAGTTTCGTGAGCAGTTTGGGGGTGGCTGCTGGCTGGCTACATTCTGTTAGCAGCCAAGGTCTCCTTGAGAAAGGCAGGAGGCTCAGCTGCCAGGAAGGAAGGACACTCAGAGCAAGAGGTTCTGGTTCAAGGCAGAGGAGGCGACGGCGATAACAGCCCAGGGAGCTCCTCATGGGCCCAGGCGCCCTCTTCCCCAGCAGGCTGGGCTTCCTGCTGCGCAGCCACCGTGAGCTGGGAGAGGCCCCGAGGTGCGCGTCATCTGCTCAGCAGGCAGAGCGAATCCCTGGCCACTGCCCACTCTGCGAGGCCTTGGGGGCTTCTGCTGTAACTGGGCCCAGAGGGAAGATCTGGCCACTGTCCCCCCTGCCTTGGGCCTTTCCCCCTCACCTGCACTCCTCTCCCCAGGTTTGCCAAGTACTACATCGACCCAAATGGCACCGAGCACCGCACGCTCATCAAGGCCTATGGCATCCGCTTCGACATCATCGTGTTTGGAAAGGTACCTCGGCCACCAGCTCCTCATTCGGACCACGCTAGGCCTCTTCGGGGTCGGCCAGGGGCGAGGGGTCCTCTCCCCATTCTTTACCTGCCTTACAAACCCCTATTGCAACTCCTTTTTTTCTTTTCCCCTGTCATTTGTAGGCTGGGAAGTTTGACATCATCCCAACTATGATCAACATCGGCTCCGGCCTGGCCCTTTTAGGGGTGGTGAGTAACTCAGACCTGTTTGCCCCCAGGGCCGACAGCCTCCGTAGTCAGCACAGCCTGCAAGAGCCCCAGCCCTCTGAGCTTGTCTGTCCCCCCCAATCCCCACCTCCACCTTCCCTTCCCTGGGACCCAGCCCCTCGGGGCCTGGCCTTCTCTAGACAGATGGAGACTTCCTTTTCCTTGCAAGATTCCAGACACAGAAAAACAGGGTAACTAACACATCCTGGCTTGTTCTTTCAGGCCACAGTGCTGTGTGACGTCATAGTCCTCTACTGCATGAAGAAGAGATACTACTACCGGGAGAAGAAATACAAATACGTGGAAGATTATGAGCAGGTAGGCCGCCCCCTGAACTCAGCAGGCAGGGAGGGCTAAGCGCCTTCTTTCGCCTGCCTCCTGTACAGCCCTGAGTGCTGGGCCCCAGGGAGGCCCCCACACCACAGCTGGCACTATTTCCATGCGTCCTCAACCCAGGCAGTCACGTGCCACGCTCGTCATCAGCTCCCTTTGTAAGCCATCTGAACTAGTACTTTAAATGGACTCACTCTTTAAAACCTAGCCATGTTTTAATTATTGACATTTCAGGTTACTTATGATAATGGATCTTATGACAAGATCAATGCCCACGCTCTATTCAAACTCAACTTGCAGAGTAAAAAAGGTTGGGCGCCAAGCTCTGAGAACCCCCCAGGGGGCTGGGTAGGTGCGGTTGTGAAGGGCTGTCCCAAGTCCTCAGGAAAAGCGCCTGACTCTCGACACCCCAAATGCTCCAGCCCTGCCGGCAGGTAGTGTGACATACAAGTACATTTATCCATGAACATATCAACGAAAGACGAGTGTGTTGTTCTTTCCAGGGCATTGACAGCGAGATGGACCGGTGATGCCCGCCCCTCACCTGGGCTCCCCACGGCCCTCACTGAGTGGAGAGCACAGAGGAGGGAGAAAAGGCTGCCATGGCACCCTGAGAAGTCCCAGATCCTGAATCCGCCTCTGCTCCACACGCACTTCAGGGTTGCCCCGCTGCTCCCGTGTCAAGTTGTTGGACGTACGTTGTTAACCACCCTGTCCTCGGCCAGGCCGCCTTTGCTGTCCCTTCAACTTGCAGTCCTGCGGGCGGGCTGTGGCCCAAGGACGGTGACTCGGCTGGGGCAGCAGGGCTGGGGCCTTCTCCAGAGCCGGCCTTCCTCAGCCGCCACCCTCTGCGGCGCCCCCGCAAGGCAGGTCCCACAGCTGCTTCCCTGCTCTCTGGGGAGCACAAGGGCACTGGGGGCGGTCACCGACATGTGGCTTGCCTGGGCTGCTGCTCCTCCTCCCCCACCAGACTTTGTCCATGCAACCTCAAGGCAGAGCTCACGTGTCTCTTTTGAGAAGAGGTACGTTAAGATGGATGATCCAGGACCACACATTAAAGCAGAGGATTTTCCTAATCTTTGTCTGCGTGGTTTCATAGCAGGAGCTAGAACGCTCCTCCCTCCCTAGGAAATGCCTTTGTCAACTCTGTGCTGCAAAGAGGCTCCTGAGACAAGTCTGTCGCTGGAGCTTAGGCATCTTTTGCCTACTTTACCTTTCTCTGAAAGGCCAGTGTGATCTTCATTAGGTTGTATTCTTATTACAGTTGACAAAGAAGGAGAAAGAAAAACATCAATATATGGTTGCCTCTTGCACGCCCCCTACTGGGGACCTGGCCTGCAACCCAGGCATGTGCCCTGACTAGGAATCGAACCAGCAATCCTTTGTTTCTCAGGCCAGTACTCAATCCACTAAGCCACACCAGCCAGGGCTACAAGATGTCTTTTCTGTAGCGATGACGTGCCTGACCTGTGCTTGCATGTGACCTAGAATGATGGTACCACACACACCAGCGAACAGTGCCAATGGCCTATCCTCCCCTCTCCCGCTTTGCTTTCCAGAAGTCTCCAACCCAGTGCAGCACACCTCCACCTACCTTGCCACCGGTTTGGAATGTTAATGAAGCTATTTCTGGCTTCGCCTTCACACCTTCCCAATTCTGCACCCCATGTTCAGGAGCTCCCTAAAGAAAGCAGCTTGCCCTCCCCCTTGTCACGAATTCACTTCCAAGCACTGAAGGAACAGTTTATTTTAAAAGTGCTCTGCTTCTGTTGGATAAATGACCAATCTGGGCTTTTCTTGCTTTGCGGGGGGGGGGGGGGTGGCGGGGAGGAGCCTTAATGAATCCCCTTGAAAAAGCTCTGGGTTATGTGGCTTTTGAAAAATGCCCACTTGAACCCACAGCTCAAATGGAGCTGGAATTTTTAGGAAGGGCTCTTAACCCTGCAGACGGAGCCATGATGGTTACTGGAGCAGAGAAGACCCCTTTCAGCCTCCCCTTTGCTAAGACAGAAGGCTGGCCCCGCTGGGGCTGGGGGGCAGGTGCTGCATCAGCATTGCTTATCCTCCCACCAGGGTCCCCCGTGCGTTCAGCCACATCCCCACTTGTTGGCACCGCCTCTTAAGTAGGGGCCCTTGTATCCAGAGGTAGGCTTCCTCGGGAGTCTCCGGAGCCCCTAAAACTTTGCAAAGTGGTGCACCCGTGTGCATTCCTGTAGCCGCCGCCGGATTCTCGGTGCGGTCTTTCATAGCAACACCTGCTCCTGGCCCTCTGAGGCCAGTTATCTCAGAGCTGCGTTTCTGCAGGGTCGGGAGAGCGGCTTGCAGACTCCACCCACTGGCCTCGAATGGCAGGAAACTGAGGGGCAAAGCCAGTCTGGCAAGGCCACGGGCTCGCTTCCCGCTGGAATGCAGGGACCCCTCGGCCGCCCACCCAGAGAACCGGTCCATTCCAAAGCAGTCTCCAGACGGCAGGCACACCGGCAGCCGTCGACGCGCTGGAAGACACAGCCTCCGCCAACAAACTCAGACCAGCCCCAGACAACTGACCTAACTTTTCCGAGCTGCTTCAGGTGATGGTCCCTAACGTGGGGTTAATGCCCACCCAGGGACACGCCCACCCAGAGGCGCGTCCAATGCCTGATTAGAAGTAGCTTCTTACCTGTTTGATCTCCACCAGAAGAACCGCGCCATGACCTGCCTGCTGGAGCTGTGCTCCTCTAACTTGGGCCTGCAGAGGAGCCACCTGGGGGGGTCCCGAGTGAGGCCCGGGAATCTGCACCAGTCCCAGGTACTGCTGGTGCGGGAACCACGCTTCGAGCGAGACCCTAGGCCATGCTTGAATTAGGTTAGAACACTGCAATAACAATGCCTACATTTGCCCTGACTTGGGCATCTGACCTCATGGGCGACCCACGGAAGCAAAACCGATGTAAGGACAGGCGTCCCAGAGAGCGCTGATTCAACAGGACCAAGAGAAAAGTCGCCAGGAGGCCTGGCTTCGCACCATTTGCCTGTCTGTTTATTTCAAGTTTACAGAGAAGCTTCGACATCTGTGGAAAAACACCAAAGGCTTCTTTTTCTCTTCAGTTCATGTCTTTTTTAAGTGATAAATACACAGTATTTAACTTGGTACACCTGATAAAAGGAAAATGCATAGTAGAAAGGACCAGGGATGAAACAGAAGCATCGGGCAGGACGTCAGTCACAGAATAGAAAAGTCGGCCGTCCCACGAGACTCGGCCCGTAAAGCTGGAGGAGGTGGGAATCCACGATCTTGAAACCTTCCCTAGCACCTTAGAAGCAGGTGGAGGTCATGGTCCTCCCCACCGGAAACACAAAGCTCCCCTTTGGAAGATGACTGAGAGCAACCTGCGTGCCCAACCTATGTGTCTGAGTGCACAGGGACTCGCCTCCTTGTTCCAGAGAGGCTTTGAGGACGGGAGCCCTAGCTCATGGGAAAGGCTGGACCACTGGGGAAACAGCCTCCCCAGCCCCCGGTGCCTGCAAGGGGCTAGAAAGGGTTTCACGGGAGCCATAAGCCAGGACTAGGTGAGGGATGCGGAACAGGGCAGAGGAAAAGATGGGGAGAGAAACTTGTGCTTCCTTCAAGGCCACGGATGCAGGCCGCAGGACGCTTACACCAAACTGGTCCCGCAGGGGAGCCAGCCGTGGGAAACGGACGGGCGTCCTGGTTCACCTGAGAGCGCTGTTCCTAACAGCTTCTCCCCTCTCCTGCTGGAGCTGGTTTTTGAAAAATCAACATCTGTGGTCCCAGGGGGCGGTAGTTAATACTTTATGTAACAACCCTCTCTACTTAGACTTTTGGGGGGTGGCAGTTCCTTTCCACAGCTTTCTTTGGTGTCCCTTCGTAAAAAAAAAAAAAAAAGAAAAAAGTTATGAACTTGGGCCTCCCCTAACCCACCCACCTGAACAGCTGGGGGCTGCCCAGTGGACGGCATTCCACATGCGAAACCGCCCCCCCCCAGGGTTTCCTCTGGGGAGAGACTGCGGCCAGACAAGGCTGTGTAAACAGAGGAATTCTGCAGAAGCGCTGTGTGCCGCTCGTCCTCCCGGGAGGCCTGGACGCAGAGCAAGGACGGGCTGACTCGAACCACTGCGCAGTGCTTACTGCACACTAACCAGGCCCCATCTGCTCCCGGAAGGGGAGGGGCCCATACGTTTCAACAAGCTAAGAGGGCAAGAGGAAGTACTAGGCTACAGAAAGAAAGAGAAAGAAAGCAGGCGAGACTATCCTCCATCAGACGGGTATTCTTTGCTGTTGCAAACCGGCAGTCCCTAATTCTGTACTGTTAAAAGACAGCAATAAAACTCTGGTTAAGCGACAGTTAAAGAGTTTACAGTCGAGATCTATGGAAGCCAAGAACGCCTGGGCCGAGTGAACGCGCCGGGAAGGGGGTACAAGTCCCTGCTTCTCCATCTCTGCAAAAAGTCCTCGTACCAAGGCTGGTCGGATGGAAATTACAGGAAAGCGGGTCCCCCTGAGCCCCACTACCATCTCCCCAGGTCAGGTCCCACAACACAGAGGGACTCTCCCAAAACAAAGTCCTCCCAGTTTTCCTACCCTTGAACTTCAGACGCACCCACGTGTGGGTCTGGAAGAAGTCTCACTTGAACAGCAACCAGGCTTCCCAATACCAGATGGCAGTCAAGAAGGTAAACCTTTTCCTTCTGGACTTTTGGCTTTTACAAAAGGGAACGTCCTGGGCCAGGCCCTGGCCTGCTAGGACCCTGAGGAGTGCTCTGGGTTTCAACAGCCTTCTCGAAAAGGGTCCCAGGAGCTCTCGGGTCGATCCTAATAGAGCTTTGCTGGTACCAATGACCATCCCAGTGTTTCCCAACTGGCCCTCCAGAAACCAGCTAACTGCTTCACGAACGACAACACTCAGCTAGTATTTAAGAAGAGAACAAAACGGCAGCAGTGTCTAGAACACACAGGTTGTAAACAAGCTAAGCTGCTAATACACAAGCCTACGTTTCATGGGCTCTGACTCCTGCCTGGAGCCGTGGACCAGAAACTGGAAGCTCTAAATGATTTCTGAACTACTCTGGAGTTCAGACAGAGCTGGAGAATTGAACATTTTTGCTTCTTTGTTCACTCTTAAGCCATGTAATATACATGGAAGTATAGGATTTCACCCTGATGTTTTTTTGTCGTTTAAAAAGATTTACTAAGAGAGCTCTGTCAGCTCCTTGAGAACTCCGCTGTAAGTGGCTGTCGTAAAGGATCACACTCCCGTCCTTGAAACGCACGCAACTTCTCCCACCAAGACCACAAGGCCCTTCATGGGTCAGAAAATCCTCTTTGCAGAGCAGTTTAAACATCAAGCCCTTTCTGTTTCTGACAACTCTAGCCATAAAAACGATGCTAAAGTTTTTTTTTTTTACAAATACTTCGTTGCCTCGAAGCTCCCTGCAGCTGCTGAGGGCGAGCCCCGCCTCCACTCCTGAGTTCAGGGTCCTGGAGGGCGGCACGGTTTTAGGCGTGGGGTTTGCACGAGAGGCCACACCCACTGCTCTCCCTTTCAAACGCAGCGACAGCCCCACTCTGTGGTCTCAAACCACACCATGGTTGTTCTCTGCCCGTTTTTAAAACCCACACACATTCGCCTGGGACAGCTGACATGGTTCCAAAATCACGGCGAAGGAGTTTTGGCATAAAAATGTTTTAAAAAGCAATTGTCCCAAAATGTACGTGGGTCTGCGTTTGCAACTCCTCACGCCCGCACGTTCAGCCAGCCAGCAGCCATGGTCGATGTCGTGGAGGTCTTTTTTTCTTTTTTGTCCCCTTTAAAACAACAAAGGTTTAAAAAAAAACAAAAACACCCAGAGATGACGGGCAAGGCTCTACACACGTGCTTCCGTAAGACATGCTGCTATGGAAACGCGGGGTGCGCGCAGCCCCGGAGGTGAGACGCTGAGCATGCGAGGTCACGGGCGGTCGGCAGCTACTCCATCGCGTCGTCCGGCCACGGGGGATGCATGCGTGCCTGGTGGCCGGGGCCCAGGGCCCCCCAGCTCTCCACTCGCGGGCCGCCTTTCACAGGAGCAGTTCCTCCTCCCCCGGCGGGGGCGGGGCGGGCCCGCGGAGGCCTTCTTCGCTGCCTTGCTTCCTGCTCGCGAAACAGAAAAGCGGGGTTAGGAGCCCTCAACCTGCTTCTCCAGGTCCCCGCGCAGCCTGCCGGGCTATTTACTTAACCTCTCCTTGTAGGTTCCCTCCCCCTTCTTCCTTGCTTACATAAAATTTTCAAAGGAGACTTTGTATTCCCTCTGCAAATGGAAAACCAGAGTCATTGGCCAAAAATAACAAGGAACCGTCTGTAAAAATACCTGTGAACCTATCTGCGTGACACCTAAAATCGCGCCACCGATTACGCACCGTGTGGGCCCCACACTGAGGCCTATCTCGACCCCCTCACCCCCACCGCCTTTAGGATGTAAGTGGTCCCACGGCAGGAACCATGACACTTGTCTTCTGTCACCGGGTGAACTTCTTGGGGACGGCCAGCAGGACCCCTGGGGCTTAGCCTGACACACAGCCAGCCTTCGGGGAACAGCTGTCAACAGACGCAGAACTGCCCCAGCGCACAGGCCGAAGAGGAGGGGGAGAAGCGCCCTCCTCTGGGCCACAGGAGCTGTCAGAGGAGACGCAGCTGGTGGGACGAGCCATGTCCCATGTCCCCTGTCCCAGGGGGACCACGGCCCATGGCACCCCCAGCTCGAGTTGCCTGGGGTGACAGATGTGGCTGGAGTGACACAGATGTGAGGGGAAGTCCCTGAGGGGTGGCCTGGACCCTTCGCCACGGTCCAGCACAGGTGCCCCATCTCAGGGAAGCTACTGGGCTTGTCACACAGGACTAATGTCCACTGTGCACCACTGGCCGGAAGGGAAAGGCCCCTACCCAGGAGGGAAAGTGTGATGTTTTCGTTCCTAGAAAGAAACCCCTCTTTGTTTAAAAAGCACTCATGGGTTTTATTGTATCTGCCACAGAAGAGGGGTCAAGTCCCCTGGGGAGGAGTGCTGTCACTAGCGGCTAGACAGGCCCTCAGTCTCTGCCGTCCAGCTGGTCTGGCTGCAGGCACTGGCGGGGCGTGGGACCCCGGCCTCCAAGAGTGCTGGCCAGGCTCTCCGGCTCCGAGTGGTGGGCCATTTGGAAAACTGCAGCATCCCACCCGTGGGCCAGGGGCAAGCACAGGTAACCCCCAGGTGTCACTGGGACTGCAGATGAGGGAATAAGGGGGCAGTAAAGCCCTCTGGACCCATTTCAGTCTGTTGATGTCTCATTGGAAAAAAAGCAAAAGAATAAAAACAACAGACTCAGAGACAGGAGGCAAACCCTGAAAGTGAGGTGGAAAAGAGAAAGGCCGGTGCATTCCACTTCTACTCCTTGTCACCCTGTGGGGCTCAAACTATGGGCTGGGCCACCCTGTCACCTGGCTGCAGAGACAGCTGGGAATGTCCAGCAGGGACTGAGGCAGCCTTCTCAGGCTCCTGACAACCGGCTGATTGCTAATGACCGCTTTTCCTGCTCCAGAAAAGCATGAATGATCTGCAAACAAGCATCCCTCCGACATCACCACAGAAGCCCCTGACTCCCATGGTAGGCGTGGCCAACGCGTTTAATCTAAGCCAATTCCTATCCCATAGAAAAGGCCGACGCTGGGACGAGAACGTTCACGGCTGCCTTCCTCCTCCATGACAGCCAGAAGGTGGAGACTGTCCACCGCGAGATGAACAGAAAAATAAAAGGTGGTCTGTCCATACAGTGGAATATTAGCTGGCCATAAAATTAAAAAAAAAATGAAGTGCTGACACCTGCTCTGCCACAGATGAACCTTGAAAACAGGAGGCTGAGTGAGAAAAGCCAGACACCAGAGGCCACACACTGTGGGATTCCATTTATAGGAAACATCCAGAACAGGCCAATCTTCAGCAACGGAAACTAGCTTAGTGGTTGCTGGGGAATGGAGGGGTTGGGTGTTTACACAGCTCTGTGGCTGTACTAAAAAGCCATGGAATTATCCCCTCCAAACAGAGGAGCTGTATGGTGTGTGAGCTCTATCTCAGCGAAGCTGCATTTAAATCATAGAAATGGCTGCCTGGAGCTCCCAGGTGAGGCTGAGGTGGAGAGTCAGGTTCAGTGCGAAGAAGACTGGGGTTGTTACCCTGCCCCAGGCGCTGCGGATGGGGGGGGGGGAATGAGGAGCAGAAGGAATGCCATTTGTCATCTCAGTCTTACAGGACCAAAAATTCTCATCTGTCGGGAGAGGTACAGGTAACACTGACCTGGGTATACACTATGTTTGGAAGAGGGATGGCCAATCGGAGGAGAAATCCAGCCCCGTGCCCGCCCCGCCCCCCAGGCAGAGGACTTGTACATTAATTTGCAGCCAGCTGCAAGGGGACTTAACTCTCTAGGTCTTAACCCATCGGAGAAGAGAGGGTGGACGCTGGAGAGCCACCAGGGGGAGCCACGGATGCAGCATGCCCGACCTACACTCCCACCATGCCGCCCCGGAGCAGGGGCCACCACGGCCCCGTGACGCGTGCAGAGCGGACGTGGGAGCCCGCCTGGACCCAGGGTGAACGCACAGGCATCCCGGGTGCAGCGCCATGCACCCGCAGCCCCAGCTCACATGCATGACTCGTCCGAGGCCCAAACCCCTGGATGCCCCTCCTTTTCAGTCCGGGTCCAGGGGCCCAAGGTGAGCCTGGTCACAGCAGAAAGGAACATCCGCCGGGGTGCGGACGCCCGTGCACGGCAGCTGCCCCCGCCCCCAGGCCCTGGCGGAGGCTACTGCGCAGGCAGGCAGGCTTTACCTTGGGCTCAGACAGGGGCTCCCACTGCCTGGTTGGTTTTTTGCTGGAATCGCCAGAGGGGAGGGAAAAGGGAAGTGAGAAGGGACAGTTGGGGGCCAAGGGATGCCCATCCCCTACCCCAGAGACAGACCCAAATGCCAGCCTGACAGCCGTCGCCAGGGCAGTTATGAGGGCGCCACCCTGCCGTGACGTGGAGGGTCCCCTAAGCAAGACTGGCTCGCTCACCCAGCAGGTGGCTGAACATCCCCCCCCCCCCCCCAACCGAGCACGCCTGCTTCTGGACCACGGAAGTGCTTCCTGAGTGTCAAGGGCCCCCTGGTTAAAGTGCCAGCCCCCTGAGGAAGGTCCCACTTCAGGCTGGACGAGCCATCCGCCAGAGGAGGAGTCATCCATCCCCTGCGGTGGGGTAACTCCCTGGCCAGCAGCTGCTCTGACTTCCCCAGGGGCCCGAGTCTGTTATGAGTCTTTCCCGATGGCGCCTCTCCAGGCATGGGGGCCCAGGCAAGAGTGCTGGACAGGGTTGCGCTAGGTCTGCCCCACCCCCACCCCCCCGCACAGGAAGACAGGTGGACACTCACCTGAGCAGGTTCCCGGGCGCTGACAACGAGCGCTCCTCCCGCCGGCTGCCCTCGAACGGGTTCCCAAAGGAGCGTTTTCGTATCATGGTTTTCACCAGGATCTGAAGGGGAGAACAGGAGGCTCAGCCACCTGGAGGGGGCGCTCCCGGCAACATCTTCCCTAGGGCCAACATCCTTCTTTCCCCAGCCCCTCGCCAGCTCCCAGAGCCTGTGGTCGATGGCAGGCCTTTGGGAGACACAGGGCAGAATCTGGGACAGAGCAGCCAAAGCCACCACCAGTCAACTGGTCCACTCGGCAAACCTCCCGTGGCTTCCTGGCTGCCCACAAGAAAAGGGCCCTCAACTCCTTGGTCTGACATTCAAGCCCAGACACAATCTCCAGCCTTGAGCTCACCCAACCCCTAGGGGGCGCTGCGCTCCCGGACAGCCGGCCATCACTGCCCCTGGTAGCAGGTCTCTGCCGAGCCACCAACCTGTCTCAACCTGCCTCACCTTCAAGGCCGGGTCTCTATGCTTGGTGAAAACTGACCACGCTGACAAGAAACCAACTATCTCTTCCCAGAAATAATGGGGTACAGGGGTGCTGTACAGCTTTGTAGCTGAAATATAACTCCCACAGCATAAAGTTCACCACTTTAAAGTCCCTGATTCCCTGGTTTTAGTACATTCAGTATAGCTAATTTCAGAGCACTTCCGTCACTCCAAAAGGAAGCCCTTTCCCCATTAGCAGTCACCCTCATCAGCAGACCTCCCTGTGCCCAACATGTACCAGTCTGCTCTCGTCCCTGTAAATGTCTCTCTCCTGGACAGGTCACGTGAGTGGACGCACAGTGTGCGGCTCTTTGGCTGGTTTATTTCCCTCAGCATGTTTTCGAGGTTCAGCTACGTTGTATCAGTATTTCACTCCTTTTCATGGCCGAATAATATTCCTCTGTATGGGTATAAATACATTTTCTTTATCCACTCCTCCATTGGTGGACATTGCTTCTTTCCACTTGATGGTGGTTGTAAAAAATGCTTGAACATTTGCATCCAAGTTTTTGTGTAGACATGTTTGTCCACACAAAATGCTTTCATTTCTCGGGTGTATATCCGGGAGTGAAATTCTTGGATCACATAGTAATGACGTTTAACATTTTGAGGAATGGCCAGTCTGTTTTCGGCAGTGGCTGTACCATTTTCTATTCCCACCAGCATCACCCAAGGACACCGTTTTCTCAGAGCACTGCACTGTCATCAAGAATGAGACACACCTGTCCAAGTGCAAGGAGCTCAGGGAACATCCCGGACACTGGGGACAGCCAGGCTGGTGTGAGGACAAAGACTCTCAGAGGTCCCGAAGGCCGTCCTAAGAGGCGCTGGGGGTCGGCCTGCCCACGGCCACGTGTGGGTCCTCTTTGGTTCGCTCCCCACCCCAACCTGCTCTAACAGACTGAGCTGGGAAACGTGTCTGAGAAGAGGACCCTCGGGGGAAAGGTACCACCCCTCATTGTGCCCCTCGGCTGCCGCTCAGCTGCCCTCCTCTGCCACCTGGTGCCCAGTCTCACCCAGCCAACCTGCCCCCACACTTTCTAACACCCAGATCTGACTCCCTCACTCCCTGACTTCGAGTCCCTCGCCCACAGGAGTTTGGAACTTAGCCTGTTGCCAGCCAGGTTGCCATGGGAGGTTCTTGAGGAAGGGAGTGAACCAGTCACCTTTTGTTGATGCTTTTGGCTACTGTGTCCTGTGAAGTTTTTCAAGGATGGGGCCCCCCACCCCCTCCTGGCAGAGCGTGGTGCCTCTTCAAGCTGTTTCAGGTACTGAGTTGATTTTTTAAGGGTTTGCTGCTAAGTGTTAAAAAAAAAAAACCACACACAAAAAAAACACTGATTTACAGTGGAGTTTTTTTTTAACTGATTAAAAAGTAGAAACACCTCAATATCCAACTGAAGAAGAGATAAAATGTGGTCTCCCCAGTGGGCTATTATATTACTCGACCATGGGAGTGACCTGCTATGATGCGGATGAACCTCAAAAACATTCTACTAAATCAAAGCGTCCAGACACAAGATGACATAATTCCCTTTATAGAAACTGTCCAGCATTGGCAAGTCTGTAGAAACTGGAAACAGACTGGTGAGTGCCAGGCGCCAGGGGCCGGAGAGGGGAGTGACTGCTAACGGGGACAGGCTTTCCTTTAAGGTGACGGTGTTCCAGAACTACCGAGGTGAGTGGTGATGGCCTCGTAATACCATCCATGTGACAAATGCCACAGTGTTGTTCATTTTAAAATGGTTCAGTCTATGTCCCATGAATTCTTTCTCAATAAAAAAGAAGAAGAAGAAAAAAATACTGACTTAGAGAATAAAGGCCATGCTCCTGGTGAGGGCCTTTATTCTGCAGCCCCCAGGGCACCCCAACCCCTCAATCCTGGGCCTTTGCAGAGGTCGACGGCCCCTGGCAAGACCACCCTGCCCTGCTCCTCCCCCATGGCCTCATCTAACCAGCCAACCCCTCCCCCGCCTGCCCCCAGGAACTCGTGGAAGGAGATGCTCCTCTCTGAAGTCCCTGCTCTGCGCTGGCCCGTCACCGTGCAAAGCAGACAAGGACCCATCTTTTCACGAGGCCAGGAGCCTCACAAGGGCTGGAGCTGGACCTAGTTCATCTCTGTAACCCCGTGGCCAGCACAGGCCGGGTGCCAGGTGGGGGCCCGACTTCCTGCTCCAGCCCCCTCCCCAACTTCTTCCACTGCCTCGCACTCCACTCTCCAAGGCGTATCTTTCCAACGCCCACCCCAGTCGTGCTGCCTGCCTCTCAGTGCACGGCAGCTTCTTGCGGCGACTTTCCAAACCACCCCCATGGAGGGGAACATCTTCCGGCCCCTCCGTTACCTGAACATTCGTTATTTATTGGTTGTGTGCTCAGCGTCTGCCTGTCCAGGACGGCAGGTACCATGTCGGTTTTATCACGGCCCCCTGCCCCCCGCACAGGCCTGAGAACCCACGAGGTGTTTGAGTGCTTCCCGAACAACCAGTGATGGGTCAGACCTCCAGGGCCAGACACCTTCTCCCAGGGACATCCCATGGTGGGCTCTGGGGCCCGATGCCAGCCACCTGCCCCACTCTGAGCGCAGGACCTGGGTGCCGTGGGTGGGTGACAAAGAGTGGGTGGGTGTGGGTGAGTTTCTAACAGTGAAGGTCACGCAGAGGCTCCAGGTGGGGAAGGAGGAGGAAGGTGGGAGTGGATGGCTGCCCAGGGCCTCGAGGTTTGGAGGAAGGAGAGAAAAAGGAAGCAGGAGGGAGGGTGCGAAGCTGGGAGAGGAGGAGCCAGCAGTGGCTCCAAGAGGGGCGGTTGGTCACTTGGGCCCCGTCCAGAGCCCAGGGCCCTGCCTCTCTGCTGGCCCGACGCAGGCTGGGGCTTTGGAGGCGGCCACGGTGGGTGGGTGGCCAGCTGGATTCCACCCCAGGACCGCTGCCTGGGCCCTGTGGGTCCTGGTCTCCCCCCTGGAGCCAGGCGTCCTGGCGGCAGGAATCTGGCCAGTGGCTGACTCACTGAGGCTGAGGCGTGTGCAGTGGGAGCCCTGCCCCTAGCCCTGGAGCTACTCCCACACTGGACACAAGGTGAGCTAAGCCTTCCCTCTGGAGACGGGAGACCCACCCTGGTGGGAACCGTGTCCCACAGACCTGGGCTCCAGCTCCTTCCCTGGCACTGCCCAGGTCCCTCAACTCCTCTGCGCCCCAACGTGCTCTGAAAGCAGGAATTCAGGAAGGGGCAAGAGGGTCCTTGGAGAGGGGCTGCCCCTCCCTACAGTGACATCAGCACTGGCTGCAGGCAGAACTAAGGTTAGAAGACACAGGGGCACCTGGCCAGATGTGTGCCCGAGGCCCAGAGGCTGAGGCCGTAGGTCGGGGTCACAGCCAGCCATCCCCCGACTTTCAGGCCCAGCGTCTGTGTCTCAGATGCCCCGGTGTCCCAGCCTGTCCTCGCAGGGCCCCGTCCCTGGTGACTCTCTCTGTCCCTGCTCTTGGTCAGTGGCTCAGCCCCCTTACCACGGTCGCCAGGCTGGGAATGTGTTTGACCGAATTCTCGACCTCCTCTTCGGTCACCTCGACCAGCGTGCAGTTCTCGTCCTCAGATGGCAGCGGCTCCGCCCCATGCCTCGTGACCCAGGGGTGCAGCTTCAAGGAACGACAGGAGGGGTGAGGGGTGGGCGCAGCTGGCTCCCGAAGGCGGGACAGCACAGCCAGGGAAGGGATGCAGGAGGGGAGAGGCAGTGGCCTGAGGCCAGACAGGCAAGAGAGCGGATAAGCCAGGCAGAGGTGGGGGGGGAGCAAGGTGGGAGGAAATGACGGGAGCCAGAGAGTGGGAGGGAGCTATGAGGCTGGGATGTGCGTGGCCCAGATTCTTCATCTGGCCCCTGGGCTTGGCAGGAAGTGACTGAAATTTGGTATGTACCCCTCACGGCTGCCCGAGAAGCCCCCATCACTCTTCAGCAGCTCTCCCTGGTCCCCGGGAAGCTCAGCTCAGATAGGCAGCATGCGCCCCATTTTACAGAAGGGCAAACAGAGGCTCAGGGAGGCACGTGGCCAAGACCAGCTGGAAGGACACAGTACAGAGAGGAACCATGCTGGGCTCTGCCCCCCACTATATCCCCCCAGGGTCCAAGCCCTCCTCTGTAACATTCTGGGCTTCCCCACCTTCAAAGGCTAGTGGGCTAGGTGCCCAGAGGTTCCCAAAGCAAATCTCCAGGTTTCTGAAAGGGCCAGATGTGTGCATGTGCCTCGGTTGCAGTGTAGGGGTAAGCGGGGTCTCTCTCAACAGTGCTTTCTGCTACAGGGTGGAATTTGGCAGGCCAGCATGAGGAGCGGAGTCAAATTGCTCTCTGAGTCCCACCCACCCTCACTGCAATCTTCACTCGGATAGGCAGGGTCAAGGCAAGGGCCCAGGACTTGGGCAGCCAGGGCATGGAGCACACAGAGGCCTGGGTGCAGTCCGAGGAGGGTGGATGCCACCAGCCCAAGCCAAACGAAGTGAGCGCTCGCTGCCCACAGGCAGCAGATTCCACTTCCACAATCACATCAGCACAGGCCCCAAATCCCCCCCTGTCCCCTCCTAGCCCCCAGCAACCCAGAGGCCCAGAACATGGCAGGGCAGCGATGCCAAGGAGGGCGTGGCACGACGGATGTGGGGCGAGGGGCCTGGCCAAGGCAGGGTTGAGCCAAACAATTCCAAGCAGAGAACACAGGCCAAGCTAGTGGCACGCACCCCACAGGGCAGCGGCGGCCCCCAGGTACCTTGATCTCTGGCACCACGATCCTTGACTCGGGGTTCTTGTCCAGCATGCGGGTGATCAGGTCCTTCAAGTCCTCGGCTATGTCGGGCCTGGGGGTGACAGACAAGTCAGCAGTTTGAAAGAGAGACCCAGGACCATGTAAGGCTCAGAGAAGGTGGTGAGTCAGGACGGCTGGGTGATACTCACTGCTCTGGAAATTCCAGGGCCTGGCTCTTGATCTTGCTGTGTAAACACATAATCCTCTCGTCCATGAACGGGCACTGTGAAGGGAGACAGGAGCGCCCATGGATGGCAGGCACACCCGTCCTGCAGAGGGCGCCCTGTGCTGGGGCCAGCCCACGTGGGTCACAGCACAGACACGAACAGCCCAGTGGCCTGATCTAGGGAGGGAGCAGTTTTCATATCCTCCCCGACCAAGTCCTAGAAGGATCGGGGGGGGGAAGCAAACACCCTTCTCCACCCACCCACCGTGTGGACAATAATAATTCCAAGAACAAGTCACCACAGTAACGGCCGGGAGGGCTCACCCGGGCCTTGTACTGAGTTCTCTCAGGACCAACACTTCACTGGCTGCTCTGCCTGAAAAGTTCTCCCCACTAACACCTGCCTGGCCTGTTTTCTCCTACCATTCAGGTGTCTAATCAAAGCACACCTCGGGGAGGCCTACCCAAGCTCCTGCCTGAAACAGACCTGCCCTGCCCACTGCCCACACCACGAGCCTTCTCCTCACAGCACCTATCCCTGACGCTGTTACATTCATATTGAACTCACCATTGTGTTACATGTGTATTTATTTACTAACTCACCACTTGTGCCTTCCTAATGTATTTATTACCTCCTGCATTACGTTACATATGTATTTGTTTATTACCTCCCGCATCGGAACAGCAGCTCTAAGGGGGCGGGATGTTTGTCTGTCTTGCTCACTGCTGACTCCTCACTGCACAGGAACATCCCCGGCACCAAGCAGGGGCTCAGTAACTGCTTATTGCAGGGATGTCAAACTCATTTTCACCGGGGCCCACATCAGCCTCGTGGTCGCCTTCAAAGGACCGAATGTAATTTTAGGGATGTATAAACATAGCTACTCTTTCACAGTTTAAGCGAGAGCTCGGCGCTGCCACCCAGTAGAAACAAGGTGCCGGGCCAGATAAAACAAGGTGGAGGGCCGGGTTCCGCCCGTGGGCCTTGTGTTTGCCACCTGTGACTTACTGAATTAATGAGTGCTTGCATGATTCCCATCTATCCTCTCCATAGCCATATGCAATAATCGGTATTATTCTCACTTTACAGAAGAGAAAAATGGAAACTCAGAGAGGTGACACATCCCAGGAAGAGCAGAGCTGGCATTTCAGCCCAGCCTGGGCTGACTCTGCAGCCATCCATGCACCGTCCCCCAGGGTGACAAATCAGCGCTCACCCAGCGAGGGTCTCACCCAGCAGGGGGCCTCGCCCAGCAGGGGGCCTGACCCAGCAGGGGGCCTGACCCAGAAGAGCCCAGATGTTACCCCGGAAAAAAGAGCCTTTCTTTATGTGAGTGCTTAAAAGGTTGGAAAAAGTCTCAGAAAGTGAGCTGCTCCACTCCTGTCCAAGGAAAATGATTTCATTAAGAGCAGTAACTTTTGACAGGAGTTTGGATTACACAGGTGTATCCACTTGACAGAACTCATTGAAGAGTACAGTTAAGATCTGTACATTTCACTACATGTCACTAATTTTACCGAGAACCTCCAACAAATAGTGAGCTCCAGCTAACACTCACACTCTGACACACTGGAAGTGTAGCAATGGTAGAGATGTTGGTAACTTACTCTAAAATTAAAAAAATAATAATTTAAAGGCAGACTGAGGACAGACATGTGATAAAGCTGAGATTCTTTATGGCAGTACCCAGGGGGTGGCTGTGTGGGTGTTCGCTGTACAATTCTTTCAACTTTGCTCTGTGGTTGAAAATTTTCTGATACAATGTTGGGGGGAGGAGATGACAAACTCCTTTCTGTCCTGACAGAACCCATTTCTGAAGTTTTCCTCAATAGGAACACAAGCTCTTCAAAAGGGAAAATCCGTGCTTTTATTGTTCACGTAATCAATCATAACTTCAGAGTTAAAAATATAAGCCACTAAATATCAACAATATAAAAAAAGGACCAAAAAAGAAACACCAGTACTCCCTAAATCAAAAATGCCAAAGGGATTTTAACTTCCATTCCAGTTCTATCCCTCCAACAAATGGCTTCTTGGAACGGTATGTTCAGAAGAACACCAAAGTAGGATCAGCCTCAGGAGGCAAAATGCAGGTATTGATTAGTGATGTCTGTCTCGGGTTTAGGATAGGAGAGAATGGCAGGCACATTTGCTGTGCTGGCCCCAAACCTACCAACTATTTACAACCTCTCCAAGCCTCTGCCCAGCCCTCCACAGACAGGACTATCATGTACGGACAGGTACCTTTGAGAAGGCACCCTTTTTCCTATTCAGATCTAACTGTGGAAATGAAGTTATACGACTTGTAAATGACTACATACTGTCTCCCTGCAAAGGGAACTATTGATCCAAGGGGGCCACCCAGCCACACTCAGGAGGCAGGATACCCCCGCTCTGTTACCTGGCCGAACACGAAGCAGTACAGCGTCACACCCATGGCCCACACATCCAGGGCCTGCAAGGAAAAAAAGGAGCTTCATGTGAGGGGACACGGTGGTAGATGAAGGGCATCGACCTCTTCTGCCCGCCCAGCATCAACTCCTCCCGCTTTTCTTTGGGGAGCCAGCTTTTCTTTGGGGAGCCACTTCTCGACTCCGAGTCCTTGGAGGTGATCCTGCCCCCAGCCTCTGGGTGGGCACACGACCCAGCACTTCCCCAAGCCATGGTAATTGGTTCAAGGATGAGCACATGACCCATCCTGGGCCAATCACAGTCAACCCCACAATTTTTGCTGCAGCTCTTCAGGAAGCCAGTCTTTCTACTGAGGTTGGTAAACTGATAGAAAGTGGCCTGGACCTGCTGGTGACCAACCCACCTGAGGAGGAAACCAATTCAGGAAAACAGACCTAAGGGATGGACAGACGGACTCCTATCTGAATCTCTGCATCCATCCAAACCCAAGGCCAAAGGGACATCGCTCATCTACATTATGTAACAGGTTCCACTGCTGAGTTGGGTTTTTGCCACTGACCAGCGAAAGGACCCCAAACACAGGCCGAACTCGGCATCTCAGGCAGGTTCAAACCTACCTTCCCAGAGAAGATCTTCCGGGTCTCGGAGAGCGACTCGGGAGCCATGAAGGCGGGCGTGCCCACGGTGTTAGAGAGGAGCGCGTCACTGCCCTTGAACTCGTTGCTCACACCAAAGTCGGCAATCTTGATGTGCCCGTCTTCTCCGACCAAGAGGTTGGAAGGTTTGATGTCCCGGTGGATGATCTTCTGGTAGTGCACTAGGGACAAGGGAGATGCCAGATGAGGGAGAGGTGCGCAGGAAAACCACGTGAGCGGATCCATGCGGCCCCCGTAGCCCAGGCCCACAGGCGTGGGGACCTCTGTTCTCCCACGGGCCCCCGCCAATCCTCCCCCACCAAGACCTGCTGGACTAGACAACACCCACGGCTCCGAAAGATAAGGGGGAAGAGGTGTTTAAGGATGTTCCCCGGCCTCAAAAGTCAGGAGCAAACCACCAGCTGCCAGGAACAATCGGGATTTGCATGGGACCGTCTCAGTCGCCAGTGACAGAGCAGAGAGAGTTTCTGTGGAGCCAGAAGCCTCAAGACTTGTGACAAACGATGTTCATTTACTTGTGCCGACACTCAGCCAGCTCACCGAACCTGCAGCAACTACAGCAGGTCAAGTAGAAGAGCAAACACAAAGCAGGACTGGGGACTTGGCTAGCTGTTCCTGCCTTTCTTCAGTGGTGGTAGTCATGAGGATGGTGATGATGGAGGATGGTGATGATGGAGGAGGACGGTGATGATGGAGGAGGATGGTGATGATGGAGGAGGATGGTGATGATGGAGGAGGAGGTGATGGTATGGGCAATAGGACCAGCAGCTTCTTGTGCTGACTGCCCAGTCTGGGGCCTAGCCCTGTGTGAATTCCTTCCCATTTAAATCTTGCAACAATCCTGATGTGACAGGCAAGGAGAAGAGTGAAAATGTTTAACAACTAGAAGCAGGAGATTCACTAGCTGATCAGAACCGCTGATGTGCCCCTGCTGAGTTCGGCCCAGGTGAGAGATACTTTGTTCCCATTTTACAGATGAGGAAACTGAGGTTCCAGGAGATAAACAGGCTCCCTGTCCCGGGGTTGCTGTGAATCAGGGACAGTGGCAGGAATAAGGGGTTCCATGGCCAGGGGCATGGCCCCAGGCAGGGATCTGCAGCTGCCCATGACTCTGCACCTCAGACAACTGAGTTTCCCACCCGCCTCCTTGAGCTCCAGGAGGAAAATGAGCAACTCCCTGCTCCTGGGCATGGTCAGCACCCCTGCGAGAGACTCTTCCCACAGGCCCCACTCACAGTACTCGATGCCTTTGATCAGATCCTGGAAGTAGAAACGGGCCTGGTCTTCAGAGAGCGGTTTGAGGGTGGGCACTTCCATCACCGGCCTGAAAGGGCAGCACACGCGTGAGAAGCGAAACAGACGCCCGGCCCGCACCTCCTCTCGCCGCTGAACCCCGCACCGCCTCGCTCAGCTCCGCAGCCCAAGAAGCCTTGGGCGTCACACCCACCGGGGGCCAGGGGACACTCACCCTTGGTTGACCAGTTCAAACACTGTAGGGAAGAGAAGGGATAAACTGTTACATTGGAAACTGGAAACCTGCCTTCCTCCCAATTGCCCCTAAAAACACCAAGAAGTTCAGTGGATTGAGCGTGGACCTGCAAACCAGACGATCACGGTTCGATTTCCAGACAGGGCACATTCGTGGGTTGCAGGCCAGTTCCCAGCAGGGGCCAGTTCCCAGCAGGGGATGCAACAGAAGCAACCATACATTGATATTTCTCTCCCTCTCTCCTTCCCTTCCCCTCTAAAGATAAATAAATAAATTCTTAAAAAAAAAAAACCCACCAAGAAGTAAGGAGAGGAACTGGACTCCCCTAGGGCCCCTCCTTGGCTTCAAGTTCATCAACAGCCTCGGGCAGAATCGAGCTAGGGCAAAGGCGCTCTGGCTACGGACCTCGGCTCAAAGCAAAGGCTGTGCGCTGACGTGAAGACCACAGACAGGGGCGCCGGTCCCTCCGCTCTGGCCTCTCCTGCCTCGGTTATGTAAGTCTCAACTTTCAAAAGCTGCTTCATGAATTTCCGCACCTCCTCCCACCCACCCAAGCACCATAAATCCACTGGCATGGGGGAAGCTGGCCTGCTGAAACAGGTCTATTTTCAGTTGCTCACAGCTTAACCATACTCGGGGCTAAGCGGCGGGTGGGACGTTTTTAACCTCCAGAAATATCGATCGCGTCCTCCACCCACTGAGGGCCAGGCCTGCAGCTGCAGGACCCTTGCCGAGGCCTGCCCTGGAGAGAGCCCCCAAACCGTCGGAGTCAAATACCAAAGGCCAGCATGGCTCCGTGTCACAAGGGCACCTCAGGAAGTGAGAAACTGCCGTGACACTGTGCATCCACATGAAACTCCTTTGGAACGTGGGTCATGGTTCTTTTTATACTGACTAGACTTCTCTGCTTAGACCATCCCATGGTGCCCTTCTTGTTCAGCGTACAAGGCAAGGTTTGACAAGGGTGTACCATGTCCTCTGCCATCTGGTCCTGCACAAACGCCACTCTACTTCCCAGTCCCCCAGCCTGGACTCCTGGCTCCCTAACCCTGCTCAGGTTTGCTGGTCGCCATGGTGCTGCCACCTTTGGAACCTGCCCATAATGATTAATCAAAGATTTGTTAATCTTTGCCCACGCGCCAGCTAAAATCATTTTATACACTTAACGTGGGGATGGTGCCACATCTGGAGAAACTGCCGTTCTGTAATATTCATGTTTTTACGGTTCTTTCTTTCACAAACTTTTTTTAAATAATTTTTTTAACTTTTCACCTGAGGACATTTTTTCATTGCTTTTTAGAGAGAGAGGGAGGGGGAGAAACTTCAGTACGACAGAGAAACATCAACTGGTTGCTTTCTGTACACACTCAAACCAGGGATCATGGGTACACAGATGGGGGACTGAACCTGCAACCTAGGTACATGACCTGACTGGGAATCGAACCCTCAATCTTTCAGTTACAGTTGCAGGACAATGCTCCAACCAACCGAGCCATGCCAGCCAGGGCTCCTCTCCTTCACGGCGTTCTGTGGGGTCACTGTGGGGCCCCACTGAACCAGGAGAGGAGCTGCTGTCCTCGGTGAGAGAGGTCAGGGGCAGGGCTGCCCCAAGAGGACACTGGGCTTTGGCAGGCACAGCGGCCTGAGCGGGGGTGGCAGAAGGCAAGGGCTGCAGTCTTACCCATGTACAGATGGTCCTCATTGGGGTCATCCAGGACCTGATGGCACGGCCACATGGAACAGGCCGGAGACAGGAGCAGGGAGCAGGGAGAGGGAGAGAGAGAGAGAACAGGTATGAGCAGAGAGGAAGTAGCCTCCACCTGACTGCATTTGCCAACAGGAAGGCCGCACGGCCCATTTTCCCCCCGTTGAGGTGAAGGGCACAGGGACAAACGCAGCGTGCGATCCGAAGGACCATCTGGAAAGTGAGCACCATCTAGCCCAACCCTCAAGCGTCCAAGCCACCCGGAAAGGAGGTTACAAAAGGGACGAGGCAAATTCCTCCGTGGGAAACACCTCAGCTTGAGTAAGAATCCCACCTGCCTCCTAGGAGACAGCTGGACGGGTCCTCAAGGTGCAAATTCAAATCCTGACCCCTTCTCCCCGACCCCAGCAGGACAGGATGCCTCCCTGCTTGGAAGTGCCACAGCACTTTCTGTCCCCTCCTCTCATGGCCTCTGCTCCCACCTTCTCACTATCTCCACCGGATCTCTCCTTCCCCCAAAGGGCAGGCACCAGGCTGGGGACACACTGCAGTGGCCTCCATGGGGCCCTGTACAGGGCGAGGCTCAGAGCAGGTGCTCAGGAAACACCTGATGAACGAGCAGTGTTGATGCCTGGAGAGGCCACATGCTACGGGGCAGCAGGAAGGAGGGAGACTCGCCAGGACCCAGAGCCAGCTGCTAACGAGCGCCCTTGGGCTTCCTCTAACGAGTCTAACATGCCTGCTCAAGATCCTGCAGCCTCTCTTCTTTCAGAAGAAACAAAGGCAGGCTCCTTGGCTAGACTGGTCCCCCTGCCTCTCCCCACATCACACTCAGCTTCCCCAGTCACCCAAGATCCACAGGAAAGAGCCCCGAGAAAAGGGTGACCACCTCTAGGCAGAGGCCTGGGGCAGCCCACCTGGAGCCCGAAGCCCTGCACTGGGGGGGTGGAAGCACACCTAGTGTCTGGCCCACCTGGAGTCCTCCCCCCACAGGCCCCAGTCAACAGTGACTGCTGACTCTCGCACCTACCGAAGGCCAGAACGTGCCCCTCCAAGCAGAGGCCTCAGGCCCTTTGCACATGCTGTTCCTTCCCCCATGTTACCCTTGGTAACTGGGCCGCCTCAAACATCACTGCCCCGGAGAAGCCTCCCCTGAGAGGCTGGCTGCACCACACTCGTACTTCCAACGGGCCGGGAACACACGGCCAACAAAGTGTTTCTCACACAGTTTACGGGTCCTTGTCACCTGGACCGGAGGTGCCTTAAATGTGGTCCAGGGACTTCTGGGCGTCCCCAAGGTGCTTCCAGGGGGTCCGTGAGGTCTAAACTGCTTTTACTCTAAAACGAAGACAGTACTGGCCTTTTTCATTCTCAGTCTTGACTGGTACAGCGGGCTCTTCCAGGAGCCGTGAGGCATGTGACGTCACGACAGGCTGTGTGCAGGAGCAGATGGGGGAACCCGGCTGTCTTCCGTGAAGCCAGGCAGTCACGGTAACAAAAACTGGCAAAAATGCGGAACTACACCACTCTTCCCGTTACATACTATTTGCTCAGACAATATAGTTATTTTTCATACCAGTGTATCACTTATATTAATATAAGTAGGATTCTTGTGGTACGTGAACTAACAATTTTTAGATCCCTCAGTTTTAAATTCCCCTGCGGCAAGTATCAGTAAATGTAACCCACATGAGCGAAAGCCCGTTGGGTCTTCAATAACTTTCAAGGGCGTAAACGAGGCCTGACACCAGAGCACGAGAACCGCTGGCCCAGAGCGGCTGGCCAGATGCAGACCGACGCTGCCGGCCCTGTGCCCGGTTTTGTGACTAAAGTCCTCTCGCAACCCACCCGCGCCCACCTGTTTAGAGGTGTATGGCTGCTTTGATGTCACAATCACACACACACATACACATACACGCACACGCAGCAGAAAGAGAACCAGCTCCAAAGTGACAGAAGTGAGCAAAGGGCCAGCCTCAGTATCCATCTGAGCCTCTCAATTTCTCCATCTGTAAAACTCCGGAGTGAGTGGGGCGATGGGGGAGCAGGGAGGGATTACATCAAATACCAGGGGGACGGAGCCTGAGGCCGTTCCTACTACTCAGCCAGGCAGTAAGCTACTGGGTGTGACTGGCTCTCTGTGGGAAGCATCGGTGTGGCATCCAGGTGACAACACAGCCAGGGGCTCCTCTGCGTGTCCCCCCCCCCCCGATGGGCCTCACCTCCACCAGCTTCACCACGTTGGGGTGGTCCAGCTTCTTGAGGATGGCGATTTCCTGGTACACCTGCTCGATGGGGCCCCTGGGCTGGATGCAGCCCCCTGGGGCCGGCCGGGTGCCTCGGGGCGGGGGGCGACCTGAAGGAGACACGAGCTACCTCAGGGTCACAACGAAGAGACATCACGGCAAAGAGGGCTGGAGTGCTGGACGCCACCGGGAGCTTTGCTCAGCCTTCTCCTCACCCGCCTCTCCTGCCACTGACTGACGAGGAGTGAGACCGGAAGCACAAGCCCCTTGCTTGGCCTTCGGTCAATCCTCCTTCCCATCCTGCACCTCCCTGGCCACTGGGAGGGTCAGTTCAGTGCAGTGGGAGAAAAGTCGGGGGTCTGCCTGGACACTCTAAACACATCAGTGAGTTCATCACTCCCCCTCCCCGGGGCTCAAGAACATCACCCCGCATCGCCTCAACTCCTGAAACAGCCAACACATAAAATGGGGTCAGAAAGAGGAAAAGACTAAGGGCTGACAAGACAAAAACACGCACACACACAACGAAAAACTGGGACAGAAATGTTCACAGATTAGTGACAAGGGCTGGGGACAGGATCCGGGCAGACCTCAGCATGCCCTCAAACACCCGGCGCTTCCAAACTCCACTCCCACCAAAAGCTAATCTGCTAACCTGTCCGAGTAATTTGTAGTTTCATCTGTGACTTCTACTTTTACAGACTTGTTTTAAAATAAAATACTTTAAAAAAAAAAAGACTACGCCAAAAAGAAAAGCAGTCTTTTCACTGCTTGTCCCTGTAGCCACCGACAGCCAAAAGGTCCCAGTGATGGAAGGACCCAAGGTTAAAACTCACTGGGCCGCACGCCCTACGTAAGTGAGGGTCTGAGTGTGATCCACAGCACTGAAGGTGGGCGTGACCAGCCTTGGGGAAGAAAAAGCAAGAAGCAGGTGTGTGTGAGCAGCGGGATGCAAGTTCAAAGGGAAAGGAAAGGAGGGCACTCAATGCCTCCTCTTTCAAAGGCAGCATTTTGGGAGACACTCACTGCACCTGCCAACAAGGAGGGAAGAGGTGAGCGTAGCTCAGCGCGAAACTGAACAGCCGGGTACCCTCTCCCTGCCTGGTGGGGAAAGGGAGGTGACCAGTGGGTGAAGCACTCGAGACCTCATCTGTCTTCAAAGGAAGTCAGAGGCAGGCGGGGCGTACTGATACAAAACTTGATACATGAAGAAATAATAGCACAAGGTATCATCCAGCTCAGAGTTCAGATGAGTAGGATAAACCGGGGTCCTGGCGAGAGCATGGGGTTCCTGTTTCTTATCTACTTCCCCCTTCAGGCCCCGCTAACACTTTGCCCAGCAAGGCTGGCAGGAGATCCTGTTGCATCAGCCTCTCACACGCTCACCCACAGGTCTGCACGGACCACGCACCACCACTGCCAGGCCCCGAGAGGGCAAGTGGGGGCTGCGTGGAGGGAGGGGCGGGAGGCAGGAAAAACCTGTTCTCCTGAGAAGCTGTTCTGCTCTCAGCTTCTTTTTGGAGATACAGTTCAACTATCTCATGGTATTTAAATGTTGGAAAATGCACCACTTCGAAATCTATCAGTCAGTGGTCTCTGGTGCATTCACGAGGTTATGCCACCATCCCCACCACCTCGTCCAGAACATTTTCATGCCCCTCGCTGGTCAAGCCCATACCTACTAGCAGTCTCCCCCACGCTCCACACCCCCACCCCGGAAACTCCCATCTGCTGTCTCCATGGGCTTTTCTGTTCTGGACTTTCATCTATCGAGAATCACACAACACGGGACCTTCCTACAACTGGCCTCTGTCACTCAGCATCCTGTTTCTTTCTTTCTTTCTTTCTTTTTTTTTAAGATTTATTTATTTATCTTTAGAGGGGAAGTGAAGGACAGAGGGAGAGAAACATCAGTGTGTGGTTGCCTCTCGTGTGTCCCCCACTGGGAACTGGCCTGCAACCCAGGCACGTGCCCTGACTGGGAATCGAACCACGATCCTTTGGTTCACAGGCCTGCACTCAATCCACTGAGCCACACCAGCCAGGGTTAGCAGCCTGTGTCTGAGGTTCATTTACGTCTAGCAGGAGTCAGCATGTCATTCCCTTTGTGGCTGAGCAGGGTTCCACTTGGATGGACCGCCTTTTGTTTATCTGTTCACCTGCTGGCAGGCCTCTGGGTTGTTTCCGCCCTGGGGCTCTTACAAATGCTGCCTCCGTGGGCATTAACATGCACGCTTTCGTGTGAACGTGCTCTTGCGTGAACTCATAGGAGCAGAAATGCTGGGTTGCACAGTAACTTCTTGTTTAACTTTTTGAGAAACTGCCGAACTGTTTTCCTTTCATGGATTGTCTGACTTACAACCTACGTTACATTAATAAATATTTGTTAATGACAATGAATTTAAAAAACCCCGCAGTTAGGGGCCGGTGCTGTCTCTGGGGCATCGACCCAGGGCATGCTGCAGGGGGCACGGTTCAGTGGGACCTCCTCCACCTTGCCCCAGCCCCTGCACCTCAGAGCAGGGCCCGCCTGGCCCACCAGACTCACGTGGAAAGCCCGCCTGTCGGATCAGCTTCTTTTTGGACAGCACCTTCATAGCCTGTGGGAGAAAAGGGCCTGCGTCCTGATTCAAGCCTGGAGGGAGGAGTGGGGAAGGGGCGCTCCCTCTACTCCTGGGCTCTTGGCTCCCTGGTGGCTCGGGGACAATGTAGTGAGTGCCTTGTCACCAGAGGACATCAGACAGGGGCAGGTTATATGGAGGCTGGAGTCCCCCCAAGCCTCAAGGGGGCTCCAGGGCAGCTTCCCCAGCTGGGGGAGCACAAGCCTTGGACTCAGCGTCACTGAATCCAGACAAGAGCGAGCTGGAGTGATGGGCACGGGACGGGTGTGGCCGGCTGCACTGCACACAGGAAAACTGAGGTTCAGCAGTTACGTCACTTGCCCAAGATCAGGCCGTTGGCACATGGAAGAGGCAGGATTTGAAGCCACACTGGACTGGTTCCAAAGCCTCAGCTCCAAGGGCCATTTGGCTCACTACCTCCTGGTTCCCGGTGCTACGGAGGCTGTAGAAACGGTAGCCCGGAGTAAGCACAGGAGACGGCTGCTGAATTCACTCACTCATTCCTCCTTCCCGGGCCATCACTTCACCTCCCTACACCCCCATCTGTAAAGTGGGGACAGCACGTCCCTCCTGGCGCCCAGCATGAACATGAGCCAACAATAAAATGAGACGACAGCTAAGAAAACCTTTCGGGAAGCTGAGTGCTGGAAAGGAGGTCTCCTGCTTTGGGCAGACATGGGGGTGGGCAGCGGCGTGTGGATACTCACATAGTAGGTATTGTCATTTTCATTGTAGGCCAACTTCACCACACCGTAGGAGCCCTGGATGCAGGGAGACAACCATGACATACCGTCAGAAATTAGGATCTGCGAAATGAGGACCCTAACACGGGTCACAGCCTGGCAGCCCACCGAACAAGTCTTTCCTAGATCTGTAGTCTTTAGAAAGTTTGAATTAGTTGTCAACATTTAAAAACAGACAGACTGGACATAAAAATCCAGGTTCCCAGCCTCAGGAAATCAGATGCTCTGACTATTAGACCCATAATCATGTCCGTAAGTTGGTTTGCTAGAGATTCACTACTCTCTGCTCTCCGATCTAGTGTGCTTCAGGCACGGAGCCCTCATTTCCTTGTTACCAGTTGGCCACAGTCCTCACCACTCCCTACTGTCACACTCAGCATGCTTTGCTCATTTATATTTGCATTTGCTCTCTATTGGCATGTGAGTTTTTTTAATTTTTATTCATTGATTTTAGAGAGAGAGAAGAAAGGGCAGAGAAAGACAGGAAGAGAGGGAAGAATGGAAAGAGGGAGAGAGCTAGAGAGAGAGAGAGATTAATTTTGATGTTCCACTTTTTTATGCATTCGTTCATTGGTTAATTCTTGTAATGTGCCCTGGCTGGGGATCGAACCGGCAACTATGGTATATTGGGATGATGCTCTAACCAACTGAGCTACCCAGCCACGGCCTGGTATGTGAGTTTTGGACCCCTTTAATGACACTGCCCATTGGCTGAAACGAAAGCAAAAAAAAAAAAAAACAGACGTGAGAGTAACTTAGGGGAGGAAAAAAACCAACACTAATAAGGGCTGATGTAACTATCACCACAGTGATATGGAATTTACCTCAACATTGTCTGTGCTTCTGCAGAAACACATTCATATTATGATATAAAAACAAAATGCATGGACTATTAATCACAACCCTGCCCCACTCTTGCCTCCAAGGCCTCCCCTCTCCCACTCCCAACTCTAGGGGGCGCCCCCCAGTATCCAAGACGTCCCAGCCCCGAGGACACCAACCTTTCCAATTTCATCCTTCAGTGTGTACTGGTTCAGCTGCACACAGTCCTGGAGAGAAGCAGAAACACACGGAACAGGAACAGTAAGGCTGCAGCTAAATAAATCTGTCACAAACGAGGCAGACACTGAAACCAGGACCCAAATCAAGAAAGAGGGCACTCCTCACGCCCCAGAAGCATCCCCAGTCACGGGTCCCTCTGCAGGGCGGGCAACCGGGGTCCTGACTCCTAACAGCAACTTCTATGCATTGCAAAAAAGTAATTGAACAGCATGTAGTCTCCTAACACCCATTTTTTTAAAGCTTGTTTCCACTGATACAAGTTTCACTTCAGATTAAACAAGTAATCCATGACCACGTTGTCCCATAAAAAGGCAAAGTGGTATAAGAAGCAACCGTGGGACCAAGGCTTCTGAGATGATACACAAAAAGTACAAAATGTAAAAGGAAATGAATCATGAACTGACCTCACCAAAATGAAAACTCTCCTTCTTCCAGATACTATCAAGGAAATGAAAGCCACACAATGCAACTATCTGCAACACCTATCTACTCTCAGACAAAGGCCTGGGATCCGGAATACATAACAAACTCTTCCAACTCATTAATAAGAGGACAACCCAACTTATTTTTAAATGAACAAAAGATGTGGAAAGACATTTCCCCCAAAAAGATACAAATGATCAAGAAGCAGGTGAGAAGATGCTCAACATCATTAACCATGGACAAATATACATTAAAACCACTCGCAACAGACTAGTTAAAATCAAGAACACTACCCAAAGAATTTGGGGGCATACAGAACCTTCACACTTGCTTGCGGGAATTTAAAATGGTGCGGCCTCTTTGAAAAGTAGTTTGGCCATTTCTTAGCACATGCACCTATACGTCCCAGCTGCTCTGCTCCTGGGTATTTATTTACCCATGAGAACTGAAAATTCATGTCCAGGCAAAGACTTGTGTACAAATGTCCTTAACAGCTTTATTTGTAAAAGTCAAAAACCAGAAAACAACCCAAAAGTCCATCAACAGATAAATGGATAAACAAGCTGGGGCACATCAGAAAAATAGTTTTTAAAAATATTTACTTATTTATTTTTAGAGAGAGGGGAAAGGAAGGAGAGAGGGAGAGAAACTTCAATGTGTGGTTGCCTCTTGCACGCCCCCTACTGGGGACCTGGCCCCCAACCCAGAAACATACCCTGAGTGGGAATCAACCACCAGCCCTTTGGTTCATAGGCCGGCACCCAATCCACTGAGCCACACCCAGTCAAGGCTGGAATTTTTGTTTTAATCCTCACCCGATTATGGACTTGAGAGAGAGGGGAAGAGGGGGAGAGAAACATAATGTGAGAGACAAATGTCAATCAGTTGCTTCCCATATGTGCCCTGACTGAGAATCAAACCTGCAACCTTTTGGTGTGAAGGATGATGCTCCAACGGAGCCGTAACAGCCAGGGCATATATATATATATTTTTAAACAATGGAATTCTCTACACTTAGCAATAAAGAGGAAGGAACTGCTGGTGTCGGCAGCAGCGCGGACAAGCCTCAACCTCATTATGCTGTGAAAGAAGCCAAGCTATATGGGTACGTCCACCTATATAAAGACCTAGAACTTGCTAACTAATCTGTGATGATTAAAATCAGGTGGGTGGTTATGCGGGGAAGGGGGCGGGGGAGGGATGCATTGCTGGGTGTGCTGGGAAAGTCTGGGATCTGGACCAGGGTGACAGTCATACAGATGTACAACTACACCAAACCTGAGCCTATCATACCCCTGAAATATTTACTGTACTTTAATTACACCTCAACACAGTCAGGGGGATTGTCAGACGGTACGAGAAGAACACCTAGGAAAAGAAACACGGTAGAAAACAGAACTTCACGTGCTACACACACACCCAGCATTTCCCTTGAACGTTCACCTCCACAAATTTAACCCTCCCCCCACACCTGATGATGTCAGCCTGATGTATAAGGTCCCAGAACTTTCTCGATTAAAGGTGCATTTATGGGGCGGGGTAGGGGAGGAGTGAGCGGTACCACACGAAAGCATTTCTCAACTTCCTCTCACTGCAGAGCTGCATGTCACAGCACACGTGACCTGCATCTCTGGCCTGTGGCCCCGCTGCACCCCGTGGCTCGCAGAGCCCTCCCCTCACTGGTAGACATTTCCGGTTGTTTGCAGTGTTTCTCTCCAGCGTTACTTTCATTCTGAGTCCTGGAGGGATGAGACGGGCAGAGCAAGTGCTATCCTAAGGGGTCTCGCCACTTCCTAATCCAACCCTCACATGCTGCTGACTCCATCTTCCAAAGGTCTGCTCTGTCCATGAAAGTCCCAGCTCACTGCGGCTTCCGGGGTCCGGTCCTGACCTGACCGGCCGGCCTCGGAAGCCTTCCACAGCTCTGGCCTTGGCAGAGTCGCCTTGTTGCCCCCCAAATACCAGTCTCCCCTTTCTCCCTTATAAATGGAAATCCAGGGTGGCAACAGCCTGCGCTGGCCAATGTCATTTCCCAGCCTCTCTTATAGCCAGTTGTGGTCATGTGACTGCGTTGTGGCTTGTGGGCGGGGGAGGCAAGAGTTGCTGGTGGTGACCCCTGTGAAAGGCCTGTACTCTAACTCACTAAACCCCTGACCACCCTTCCCCTTACCTCATGCCTTCCACCTCTGGGCCTTTTTTTTTTAAGATTTTATTTATTTATTTATAGAAAGAGGGAGAAAGAGAGGGAGAGAAACATCAATGTGTGGTTGCCTCTCATGTACCCCTTACATGAGAATGTGCCCTGACTGGGAATCGAACTGGCGACCCTTTGGTTCACAGGCCGGCTCTCAATCCCCTGAGCCACACCAGCCAGGGCCACCTCTGGGCCTTTGCACATGCTCTACTCCCCGCCCCCTGCAGTGATCCTTCCTGTGTGTGTCCATCTCCAACTGTGGAAGTTCTACCTGGCACTCAACCTGTAGTTAAATATCAGCCCCTTTCAAAAGCCATTTCTGACTTCCAAGCTCCGCCCCATTAAAAATGCATTTGTTCCTTCAGCAAATATTGTCGCGCTCCTACTGCGTGCCAGGCCTGTACAAGGCGCCGGGGACACAAAGGTAAACTGGACCACGCCCTGCAGAGCTGACACCCTAGCTGGGGGGAGCCAGGCACTAAGCAACTAATCAAACACAAGACACAACTGGATGGTGGTGAGCACCGTGCAGCAATGTCCGCAGGGCAACAGCACCGAGGGCCTGGGTACTGACAGCTGCTTAGGGAGGGAGCCTGAGAGGCCTTCGAAGGAGGTGACATTTAGGCTGAGAGCCGGACATCGGAAGGACATAACCTTGCAAAGATGGGAGAGCTTCCAAGTACAGGGGAGAGCAAAAATATGAGCCTGCGTATCTGAAGATTCTCAGGAGGAGCAAATGGATGGAGGTCTGTGAATCAGGAGATGATGCAGGAGAAAGTGGAAGAACAGATCACCCAGCGCCCTGTGAATCTGGGTTTGGGGGCAACGGGGGTGTCTGAGTTCTAACCTACCTCCCAGAAGTTTACTTACTATAAGGATTGAGTCAGAAACGCGCACACATGGTATGAGCACAGCACCTGGCTCGAACACCCAGCAAAGGGGGCCACCCTGGAAGGCCTTGAGGCCTCTCAGCGACCTGCCACCAGCACCATTTCTGAGCCCGCAACACTATTTCCAACCACCAGCACCTGACCTCTTTGCTGGAGGCTGTCTCCAGCCCCAGAGGCCCTGCCCACACTGGGGCAGGTCACTCACCCACAGCTCCCCTCACTGATGATGTGTGGAGTTGGTGAGAAAGGCCCCGCTCCCCAGCCTCCTGTGGGGTAACTCCGAGACTATGTTCTCCCTGCCCCCCCGCTCCCCAGGCAGATGGAGCCCCGGAGCCCAGGGGTCACCAGCTCCATGACTGCATCCTTTGTTGAGTTCCCTTCCCTTCCCTCTCCGTCCTCCCCATCTGGGTTTCCCAGGGTCACATCCCAAATCAGCTGGTGGCACCAGGAATGTTCCGGGGGAGCCTATCGAACGAGGAGACCCGGCTCGGCTGCCGCCGCTCACGCACCTGCATACCGGTGATGGAGACGTGGTGTGACTCCACCGTGGGCCGCCGGGGCAGCCGCGGCGAGGACTGCGGGGAGCCCGCAGGCGAGGAGGGCTGGGCTGGCCGGATGCAGCGGCCGTTCACGTCCAGCTGGGGCCGCTCCTGCAGCGACAGCTTGCAACCGGAGAGGTGGGGCTGGGCCTGGGACCCGGCATCCAGGGGGACTTCTCCGCCGTCGGCGTCCAGGTGCACATCCCGGTCCAGGCCCTGGTCCCCGGTACAGCCTGGCTCGCACTCGGTGACCACAATGAAGGACTCCATGCCCAGGCGGATGCTCAGCGACGAGAGGCCTCGCAGCGCCTCGCAGGGCTTCTGGCCTTGGCTGCTGCTGCCGCCCACGCCACGCAGGTCATTCTGGGGGGCGGCCCGGTCGCTGCTGGGCTGGCTAGAGACACATGATGACATGGTGCGTGCGCGGACCTCATGTGATGCGGCCTCGCCGGGGCCCTCCCCTCCACCGCGGCGCCACCTGCGGACAGAGGAAGGGTCAGCGGCCCCGCCCGCTGCCGGGGCCTCGTTCCTCCCTGGGCTGACGTCCGTCCCCAAAAATCTGGCAAAACCTGACCTCGGAGCCTATACAGAAACAGACACTCCACATTTTCTTGTTTTAAATGTCTCTCCTCACACATATAACAAGAAACCAAAACTCAATTCCAAAAGGAACTAAGTATAAGCAAATCCCAAATCAGGGTGGGCTTGCACACCCGCTATAGAGCGCCGGCGGCTACTTCCAGCTCCAGCCCGCTCTTGCTAAGCTGGGTTCTGGGCCGAAACTGCCTGGTCCTCCCCCCGTCCCACCCTTTTTTTTATCAAAAGCAGCCCTAAACCCAGAATGTTAGATGGGATCTCAAATATTTGAACGCTGGGCGGGCCCAAAGGACACTCCTGCCTGGTGACTTCTGGGCTGCATGACTTCACCATGGCAACGATTCCAGGGGCACTTTCCAGTTTACAAAACATCTTCACATCAACATAATCTCCCAAGAACCCCAAGTTGTCGGTTTGCTCTTAGAGCCTCACAGTGTCAGTGGGGAAACTGAGGCTTGAGGGATTTGTCCGAGGTCTCCGAATGCAAGGCCCGTTGCACAGCAGTTGGGTCTCTTTAGCCAGTGATCCTCAGCTGGGAGGTGGGGGTCAGGGGTCAGGGGTCAGACCAAGGACAGGCACCCAGATGGTGTGAGACCGGACCGGTCATTGTAGACCAATCTGGGGAGTCAGACTTAGTTGGGCTGGTGCCTGCCAGAGACGCGGCAAACACAAGGCCCAACATGAAGATATCAAACAGCTGGGTGGTTCCTCCACAAATCTGAACGGAGAATTAGCACATGAAGGGGGGAGTCTGTTCTGGGGTCTATACCTCCCTAAACAGCGAGATTCACAACAGCCCCACGGGGAAACAGCCTCCGCCTCCATCAGCGGACCACCAACGAGGGCCGCCTGGCTGGTCCACACTCAGGAATATGGTTCAGCCCTGACCGGAAGGGGGCACCGACACGTGCCACTGGTTAGATAAACTTCAAACATGTCACGCTCGGTGAAGGATGCCAGACCCAAAGGTCACGTCTGTATGATTCTGTTCATACAAAATTCTTCCCACAGGCAAGTGCAGACAGAAAGTAGATCCGTGGTGGCCCTCGTGGGGGGAGGAGACGGGCGGAAGGGAGCGACTGCCAATAGGGCCAGGGCTTCCTCCCGGGGATGAAAAGGTTCCGGGAAACGTTCTGGAATTCACAGACTGTGAAGGGACTGGATGCCACTGAATGGTGTAGGAGCGTTTTTAAATGGTTGGTTTTTAAAAGATTGACATGTCCCTCAGTCTGTCGATTCCCTCCGTCTCTGGGACAGAGTATTAACCTTTGGTTCATGTGTTTGCACAAAGTCTGCTGGACAAATGTCACGGGCGCTGCTGGAATTCAGGGGGCAGACAGATGCCACCTGTCCCCTGGAGACAGTCCTGCCAGAAGCATTTCAGGAACAGCTTCTGTGTCAGGCAGCTGGGACGGTGACGCGGGCAGACGAGGGTCCCTGCCCTCACAGAGCAAGGAAAGGCCAGTTGAAAGGCACCGAGAAAATAGCCACAGGTGTCCCAGCCTGGACACGGGCATGATCTACGGACACAGCGTTCGAGGTACAGGGACAACAAAGCCCAACCCCGGGACCTGATGTGGACTGCAGAGTCAGACGGCCACGACATGGTTTGGTGGGACCACACAAAGTGGAATGTGGCGTGACCACACAGCCCACGCATCTTCCCCTAAGTGCACACGCTAAAAAGAAGTGGAAGCTGGGCCGCCGGCACCTCTACTCTCGTGTTCACGGCAGCGTCGTTCACAGAAGCCTGAAGCAACCTGAGGGCCCAGCCACTGAGGACAGACACACAGAATGCGGCCCCTCCACACACTGGGGTCTTCGGCCAGGAAAAGGAGAGACGTTCTGCCACATGCTACAAGAGGGATGAACCTTACGGACATGCCAAGCGAAACAAGCCAGATGCTAAGGACAAGTACTACATGGCCTCACCCACAGGAGAGACCGGGAGCAGGCGAGTTCAGACACAGAGTGGAAGGGAGGTCACCAGCGGCTGGTGGAGAGGGGACCGAGGGGTCATTGTTTAAGGGGGGGCAGAGTTTCTGTCTGAGGTGGTAAAGAAGTTCTGCAAGGAGGGGGATGGTCACACAACACTGTGAATTTAACAAATGCCATTGAATCATACACCTAAAAGGGTAAGTGTTGTGTGATGTACATTTTATAAAAAGTAAGGAAATAATAGTAAAACCACAATGAAAACCTTTTTTTCCTCAACTATCAGATAGGCAAAGACAAGAAATGTAATAACAACGATATTCTGGTGTAGCCCCAGGAGGTATGAATGGGTACCATCCTTACAAACAAAAATTCATCAAAGTTTGGCAAAATCCCAAATGCACTTGCCCTTGACTGAGCAATTCTGCACCTGAGTATTCATCCTACAGACAACCTCACACATTTAAAAAGTAACGTGTGTGCAAGATGCCCCGGTCAGTGTGACTCAGTTTGTTGGGCATTATCCTACAAACCTAAACGTCACCGGTTTGATTCCTGGTCAGGGCATATGCCTGGGTTGCAGGTTCAGCCCCAAGTCAGGGTGCATATGAGAGGCAACCAGCTAGTGTTTCTCTCCCTCTCTCTAAAAATAAATAATCTTTCTAAAAATATTGTACGTACAAGTACAATGTTTCGTAGTGTGGTTTGAAAGGACCACCCATGGGGGACTGGGTAAAGAAAACGAAGTACACGCATCCCAGGAGAAAACATGCATTTATTTTAAAAGAGGTAACTCTACAAATTCTAATGTGAATTAGCTCCAAGACACACTGTTAGCTGGGGGGAAAAAACCCCAAAACATTAGCCTGCTGTTGTTGGCCTCGGGGGAAAGACCTCACGTGTGCACAGTGTGTATTTCTGGAAAGGCACACCAGAAAATGGTCACCGTGGCCTCAAGAGAAAACTACTGGTCTGCAGAACTGGGGAATCTAGGTTGGAGGGACTGACTTTTCACTGTATTTACCTTTACTTTAAAAGTGAAAAGTCACCCTGGCTGGTGTGGTTCAGTGGACTGAGTGCTGCCCTGCAAATTGAAAGATTGCCAGTTCGATTCCTGGTCAGGGCACATGCCTGGGTTGCAGGCGGGGTCCCCAGTGCAGAGGTGGTGGTGGTGGGGGGAACTGTGTGAAAGGCAACCTTCTTAAAAGAAAAAAGATAACTGGAGCCACAATGGGACTTAGGATGGCAAGGCCTGGCGAGCTACCCACAGGGGGCGGGGGCAGGGAGCAGCTGGCCCCTCTCCTGTTCCCCTATCCGTCCTTCTGTAGCTGAGAGAGAAGCGCTAACTGTGTTCCTGGCTTCCCCGTCAGTGAGTGGACACCACCCAAATTCAACGTGCCCTGTGGCCCCAGCTTCTGTCACTTTACATGTCCCTTTTATGGTCCAGGAGTCCCAGGAGGGGGAAAGCAGGGTCCCTGAAGTTCGCCTGCTTGGACTTGCTGTGGACAAGTGACACGGCCTCCCTCAGCCTCAGTGTTCTTCCCCGTGAAACGGGCACCCGCCCATCAGGCACAGGGCTAGTGAATGAACTACGCACTCTGCCTCCTGCCCAGTACTCGGGCAAGTGCTTAGGAAGCTCCTCTTCCCACAAACGCTTATTAAATGCCCACTCCCTGCCAGGCTGTGTTCCAGAATGTTCCTCCGAGGTTCTCATGTCCAAGAGAGCCAGCCTGCTCTTGGGCGGCTTCCAGGGCCCCAGCTACATGGGCCTGCCCCGCCCACAGCAGGGGAGCGGGCCGTGCTCCCTCCCCGAGCCACCTGACCCGGCTGCCGAGTTCCTGAAAGGAAAAGGCGCCTGGCAGCACCTGGGAGGTTCAGGGAGGGTTTTTTTTCCTCGCCAACAGAAGAACAATTGCTTATCGATCTCCACTCCAGGCCAAGGACACCAAGCCATCCGCTCCCAGCAAAGCCACTTTTAATCACTCTCCTTGGCCCGCTGGCGCCTGGCCTGGCCTTGGCTCTTGAGGTCCGGAGGAAGGAGGAGCGGAGCTGCGCCCTGGCTGGGACCGTGGTGGGCGCTCCGTGCTGCGGGGGCAGGTGTCCCCTGGTCTCAGCAAGGGGAGTTCAGACCCCAGGGCCTCAAGGCCACTTGGAGGCCACTGGTCTGCAAAGAGGCCTTGGCAGGCCAGGGCCTGGCCACTCCGCCTGACGATAAGACCTTGTGGGGCCGCAGACCCTGTAAGGAACACAGGTCCTGTAAAGATCTAATGAAATCTATCAACTCTCCGCAAGAGAGAAAAAATGTACAAAAAGACAACAGTTCCCATTAATAACAGCAACAGCTAACGCCCAGCTGGGCGCTCGTCATGCACCAAGCATGGCTAACTGCGAGGCCAGGGCCCTCTAACCCACGCCGGCCCCTGCGGGGAGAGATGGCTGAGCGTGGCATTCCAGGGCCCCAGAGTAAGGGGACCTTCCTGCAAAGATGCTTGGGTTGGACAAGATGCCAAAAGCTCTCTCCCCTGAGCCTCCTGCCTGAACCCTGGGCCCTTCCCCGACCCTGAAAGCCTCCCCCAGCGCCCTTGGCCGGCAGCCCTGAGCTCCCCTCCCCTCTCACAGGGCAGCACAACTGAGCGACCAGACCAGACCCTTCCTGGAGCAGATGGACCCGGGCGCAGGGCCAGGATGAAGGGAAGCACTCCTTCCTCTGCCGGAAGCCAAGTGGCACAGGCCTGTCGGAAAAACGCTCCCATTTCCACACCAGCCCGTGTGTGATCACCAAAGGCAGAGGCCAGCGAACAACAAAGGAGCCCGAAATACCTGGGAGGATCCTGCCAAGTCCAGGGGGCAACGGGCTCCCTGGGGCAACAGGCATGGCCAGCACCACCTCTCTCATGGGGGAAACCAAGGCCCAGGGAGGCCCTGAAGGAAAGTCACTCACCAATG